CAGATCCAAAAGGGCAACTGCACTCATCGGCTTAACTGTCATTAACTTAACTACAGTTTAGTGTTTAGCACAAGTTTAAACCTCAATTAGTGATGTGGATTCTTAAACTCCATTGCGTCCTTGGAAAAAGCACTAAACTCAACTGCTGTGGCACATTAAATCACACATCTGCACCTGGACGTCACCATGTCTGAGGTATAACTAAGGTTTATCATAAACTCACATCTACAGCAGGTTTAAAATGGATGGTTCAGTAACAGAATTCTTCAGCCAAGCAATACAGCTTGGTAACAGTATGTTATTATTAACCCCAAATTTTTAATAACCTGAATTAAATAACTAAATCAGGCTTAGAAGATGGCTCGGGTAATCAGATTTATGAAATCATTTAGTAAAATCTTTTATGCTAAAGTAACTACAGGCAATAATATACTATAGTTTAATAACTGTGTTGGACTGACTGACCTAACTTCATAGTACATCCAGTAGAGCAGCAGCAGACCAGGTAGACTCATAAAGTTTAATTAAATGTCTATCTGCACATTAAACCCCAGATGTGACCAGTTTGGCTGAACCTGAGAGACACATATTACTCAAACTCAGTTACCTACTTCCATCAACTCCATTCAGAGAGTACACAGTTGTAGCAGATACAGCTATACAAAGCTACAATCAGGGTAATGATTCATGCACATGGTTTTCACTGTATTGTCAGTGATCTGGGGGGAATACAAGTCCTGCAGGTAGTCCTTTGACAAAAGCAAATTCTGATATGCTCTCACCTCATTGCACTCATCCACCAGAATGAAAAAGAGGTCAAATCGGGACATGATGGGGGCGGACATGTTGACGTTCTGCTTCAGAGACTTGGAGCGGTTGTATCTGCCATCAATGGGATTGGCTGCTGCCAGGATGGACGTGCGGGCATTCAACGTAGCCTAAATAAGCACAGCAAGTTTTACTGATAAGTCACTTTACTGTTTTGAACTCGAGGTAACCATGTTCTCCTGAAGGCCCCATTCAGGAGCTGAAATGGCAGCAATGGCAGAATTCTGTTTACTAGAAGAGTGCAAAGTTAACATTTCTACTACATGTCTTAGGGTGTACTAACACTATGCCAGGTTGCTTTGTACGGTGCCCAAACATGACTGTCCCTCCTCCCCACTCCTCGCTGGCCTGCGCTCATCGTTCTGGACCTGAGCACGCTTACATCACGATGCAACTTTTCATGGTGAAGGAAAGCGCTCTTGCATAGCACAACATAGCTCATGAATGTACATAATTTGTGGCTTATTTGGAACTGTTTTGGGCACCCTGACACACGGCCCTCTTGCATGCCTTACAGATTTATCAATTATGCAACACAGCGATTTTCTGTTAACTGTGCTGCAAGATTTTTTACAGAGGCAGCAGATGTTGAGGGAGAAATTTGCAGCTTTACTCGCCGACTACAACTGAACATTCTTTAGTAAGGTGGAAACAAGACCCATTACTACCCCACATATTCTTAAAGGAATTGAGAAGGGACAGCCACATCACTGACACCATGTTAAGAGTTCTGTGTTCGAAAGTTAGCGATCACACTAGATGCGGACTTTGCCTGAGTCCAACTGAAGCATACCTGAGTCCATCTCATCAAGTGGGCCAGGTACAGAGCAATTAAACTAGTCAAACGAACTGTACCTTTGGTGGGGGGGGTGGGTTCAAACATGCTTGGGCAGGCTACGGATCGCCTAGTGTGAGTGAACTCTTAGTAGATGATTGTCTGTTAGGAAACAGGATTTAGTATTGCACAACCACTATCAAGCCATTCATGTTTTTGGATTTAAATAAATTCTGCACTAGCTACTCTAGATTGCTGTTCTTCAGTTTCTATATAAATCACTACATATTTCACTGTTTGCCCTGCTGAAACACTTAATTAGCCACCTCATGCCATTAAAACAAGAGGATGCAGCTTTTGAAACAAACAAAAAAAAAAAATCCTCATCTTGGGTAAATGGTCAATTTTACCAAGTATTGTCCTGGCAGCTTTTTCACAAATCAGGATTAAGTTATACAGAGGACTTCCAAGAGCCTGTCCTATAGGAGGAGAGACAAGTTATACTGGACTGTGGGTGTAACGATTAGTCAATCATACTTTATGACTCAATTTGGGAAACAAGGCTGCTCAGTGTAATTGATGCTGAGCAGCTTTGTTTCCCCAAATTGAGTCATACAGTATAATTGACTAATCATTGCACCCATAGTTTTTATAAAACACCAAAACTACTGGAGTGCTAATAGCACTTCCTTATGAAGAATTTTCAGCCTGCTAAATGAGTGAGTTGGCAGGCTGCATGATAATGCATCTCTGAAAGGCTACACATGGTTTGTTAAAAATCCATTTTTATTGTTTGGTATAAAAAAAAAAAACCAAGCACTCGAACATAAAAGAGAGATTACTCAATTATAAAAGAGTATAATCGATCAATAGTGAGAAGCCCCTTCTGGAAAAATCGCACTTAGGTTTAAGTTATCCCGCTAGTCCTGATATTTGAAACACCAATGCCCCAGATTTTTGTACATGTTAGAATGATGCTGTACCTTGACTCCAGCCTTGGTGATGGAGATGGTCTGCTGTTCCATGGCTTCATGGATGGCCACTTGGTCTTTCAGGTCCATCTTATCAAACTCATCAATACAGCACACACCCTGAGAAGAAGCTGTGATTTTATACACCCACACATACCATAAAATATATACAAATCTTACGTTTGCTTAAGGAAGGAACACCATCAAAGTCCTCAAATGAAACTGCTCACATTGTCAGCCAGCATGAGAGCTCCAGCCTCAATCACAAACTCGTGAGACTCCTCGTCTTTGACCACAGCGGCGGTCAGACCGGCAGCGCTGCTGCCCTTACCACTGGTGTACACAGCTCTGGGCACAAAGTCCTCAACATGCCTGAGAGAAAGACAGAATGAGTAAATATGCCAGACATGCTTAAAGTCCTAGTCACATTATTTCTTAACTGTCTTGTGCTTAACATCAAGTGCTATACATACTTGAGGAACTGGCTTTTGGAAGTGCTGGGGTCTCCGATGACGCAGACATTGATGTCTCCTCTTAGAGACGTCCCCTCCATGGTTGTCTTAGCCACACCACCAAAAAGCATGAGCAAAATGCCACGCTTGATTTCATCGTTCCCTGGAAAATATTAAATAGTCTGGAATCAATGTTTTATATAACAAAAAAGAATTTGGTGGCACTGATGAATAGACCAACATGTTAGCCTGTGGCTAGTGTGTTAGTTTGGGACTAACATTAACTTGTAGCTAAAGCACTAGATTGGGACACTACAAAGCATAACTTATTTCAAATATTGAAATGTCAAATGCTGGATTAAACTCAAAATAAAAAAGCTAACTAGATGTGTCCAGAATGTTGAACAAAGCTGTAGATGACTCAAAAATTATTGAGAAAACTGTGCATGATTAAATTACAATTAAATATCCAGAATGTCAGATAAATGTGACCATAAGTGATCAAATCTCAAGGTAGAGAACGAAAATTGTTATTATTGTATGAAAATTATTGCAAAACAATTATAGCATATAAATTCATCTAAAAGGGAATTTTACCAATATAATCAAAATCATTAAGATCTAAACATCAACATTACCTATAAAGACTCCAAAGCTACATGTAGGTTCACTGGTCATTTTGAATTGCCAATAATTTGATTATATTTGTGTTGTAGGCATCGTTTTCCCCTTCACCACCACTGTAAAGAAAATCTGAGTTTGTTTCTTTAAAATACACCATTTCACATCAAACCACTCGGACGGTTTACACCCTATTGATTAAATTACATAGAAATTTTCAAAAATTGATGAGTTGATCAGTGATCAAATTCCTGTCGCATAACTGCTGTTCCCAAAAACCTTGAAATCTCTTGGTATGTAGTTTACAGTATTTACATTCATTACTGTATATACACTGTACCTCTATACTAAAAATATCAGAACTCCTCCTCAGCGGGGCGTCAGAGTAGCTCCTGGAGTTCTCCTACCTTATAAAAGATAACTGATGGAACTAATCCAACACCTAATCCAAGTTATTTCTAGGTTTTACACCCAGGTGTGTTGGAGCTAAACTCTGCAGCACAGTATATAGAAGGGCTGGGGACTCCAGCATTAAAAGAACACCCAAAAAGTCTTCTAGAGCCCACCATGAATGGTGGGAAAGAGGCTAGTGCAGAGGTTGTGATAGAGGTTCTTATCCTGGCTCATCTCAAACACCTTCTCCCACTCCTGCACAGTCATCTGGTTCTTCACACTCTCTGCCGTCTGGTCCTCCTGACGCAGCTCCTTACCTCCAAACTGGACAAACAGATTAACGGAGGTCAGGCTTTGTTTTAAATGTACCATTACTGTTCTCTTTTAGACAAGCAAGAAATATCACCATGTCCTTATGAAGGCTGTACTACAATGTGGAGCTCAATCACATCATGATCCCTCACCCTTGGGTTTGTAGGTGCAACATGACTGGCCAGAAAGGCCAATCTGTAGGACAACTCTCGAACACCCAAAGCCTTCAGGCCCTGAATCCCATCCGCCTCAAAGCCCTCCTTTCCAGTCACCCTGCTGCTGGTCTCTGCTCTGGTACCTGCATAACAGATGCACATGAACTCAGCAGCTATACTGAAGCCTAAAGTCTGTACTGGTCATTTACACAAAGGAAAACCCAGACAATAAATTTATTTTAACATTAATTTTTATTTTATGTATTTTTTCAGAAGTGTCCTAGCAGGACTTTACTTTCTGCTTTCGTTTTGCTGCATCTCTAGTTATTGTCAGTACTTGAATACTGAACAACTACAAGTTTCGTTAATTCTGTTAAATTAAATTTAGTGCAGTGTTGTGTGGAAAATGTTGAATTAAAAAAATAAATAAAAAATAAAATTATATATATATATATATATATATATATATATATATATATATATATATATATATATATATATATATAAATAAAAAAAAATAAAAGAGATATATATATATAATTCTTTTTTTTAAATAAAAATACTATTAAAACTGTTTTATTGTGATGCATATTGTGTATCATGGTTCATCTTTAAGTATTCTGAACCCATATCTTCCACACCTAATTGCAAACCATACCAGAGAGCGCCATGGCAGAAACATCAGGCACCACAATGAGAGTGCCAGTGAAGTCACAGCGGTCTCCGGCCTGTGCCGTCTCCACAGCCTCAGCCCTCAGGATCACCTCCACGCTGCGGGGGATTGAGCCTCGAGGAAGCTCCGCCTGTGTCTCCTGAATACGCACCTGACACCACACAAACGCATGAAATGACACTTATTTGTGTACTGTGTAAAAGTTCTGCCTGAATGTTTACATTTTACACATAACCCACATTCTCTTTTATGAAAAAAAGTTCATAGCAATTTAATCCATCAATAAACTGTCTTAAAGCAGTAGGTTATTGTTGTTCACAGTTTGGTTTAGTTTTGTACTGGAGCTACAAAACTAATGTAGTGAACAACCTTAAAGCCACCAGTTAGCATGGTACAAACTAAATGACTAAATCCCACTTTTCTCAAACTGCAATTTCACTGATTTTTCAAAATCTATGCATAATTAAATTGTTACAGTATAAACAGTCATTCAGAGTGGTTAGATGTGAAGAGCTCTGTGGCAGAGAAACTTATCGAGTCAGATTTGTTCACAGTGGTGGTGTTTAATACCTTTAAAAGCTCTCTCTCAAAAACCCATTATACACAATGATTATGAATATGCTGTCAAATGCCAGAAGGATTGTTCTCTGAAAGTCTTGTTTTTTTTGTTTTTTTTTCAAGGGGGGGAGGGTTAAATACAGGGCATTATAAAAACATTTTTCAGGTTTACTACTATTTTACCATCAACCTTACATATAAAAACTCAGAAGACGTGTAGGTTCGCTGGTTCTTATGGATAGTAAATAAAACCGCTATATTCACATTGTACAGAAACGTACAGGTTCGCACGTTGAACCATTTTATGGGAGGCAAGACCAGCCAAACAAGAAATTAAAATGAACAATAAAATGTAAATGCAAACCTCTTTTAGCCATTTCTTTTTCCAAACATCTGCGCAAATATACCACCAAAATTGACATGAAATATCTACATTCACAATTAAAATTTTCAGATAAGCACAAGTAATTTGTGACAAAAATAAAAATAAATTTAAAACTGCTATTTGTCATTTAATTTTAGTCATTATTCTGGTATTTCATGGCCGCATCTAAAATGGAAAAGCTAATAGAGAAAAGAAAATCCAAGCGTTGCTCTGGCTTTTCTTTATACAATGCAGAATACGTGCCAAAATTAAAATCAGAATGGAATGTTTACTTTTTTTTTATAGCGATAGGCTGCATATCCAAATGACAAAATGAAAATGCAAAATGGATAAATCAACAGCAAAGTGACAGTTTGCGATTCAGTTTTCGGCATGGACGCCCTTTAAGTGTCAGAATAAAAAGGCAAATGGGAATAAACACAGGCGCCATTTGCTGGTTATTTACTTTTCATTTCGCACTTTGCTTTTTCTTTTTCAAGTTACCCACCATGTAAATATATGTTAATTAACACTGGGCAGGGCTTGTCTTGACTGATTGGCTACACCTGGGGTAAGGTGAGAAACTGAAAATTAGATTTTTTGTCTGAGATGTACTCAGATTACCTTCTGAAAGTCGACAAAGCGGGACTTATTGGTGTCCAGCATGAACCTGCGGCGATTGGCACACACAGGGTTTTTGCAGATTGCGGGCTGTGTGTATTTAAACTGCTGCTCCACATCCTTAATGACCGACTGACAGTCCAGACAGAGGAACGTTCCACTGACCAGCTCTGGATGAACAGGGTGTGTCCGCACCACCTGACCACTGATCCGAAGCAGAGTGCCGATACGAGCAGTGGACAGCTCACGGATCCTGGACAAAAGAAGCAAAACTGTCAAGAGCATATGAAGAGGGAAGATTGTTGCTATAACATCAGTGTAGTTGTACACGTTGTATATAAAAGGGGAGGACAATGACTACTGACTGTTCAGACAGGGCCTATACTTAATCACACTATCCATAGTCTGTGTGTGAAAGAATTAACAAAGTAAAATTCACTACAGCAAGTGCGCAACAATACAAAACTAGAATGAAAATACTAAATACAATACAATAAATACACTCGATGAGACAGGATGCAAAACAGTAAAACATTTTTGAACACCCTCAGTCAAGTTATATGGTTTGTTCATTTAAGTAAATATGGATTTTTTCCCTGGTAATTTTAGTGCACAATTTCAATTTGTCGAGTTTAACATATTGGAAAAAAAATTAAAATAAACATGCCATAACCTTTGCACAGGCCACATTCTGTTTTAGTTTTTTCTTCCATGTTGAATTCTGCAAATAAACAGTAGCTGTGCTTTCCTTGTTGAGGATGTTTTAACTTATTTTACTTAAAACAAATAATAATAATATTCCACAAAAACAATTTGACCAGGGGTGTTCAGACGTTTGCACTCCGTTGTACTGGCTTTTACAGGTGTAAAATTGAGTTACAATAGAAGGGGTCCAAAAAACCTGCCTAATATTAAAATATCCTTGGCATTCCACTCACGTCAAATCACATGAAAATATTCGCTAACGATTTTTATGGGTTTCAAAAATATATATAAGAATACGTTTAATATAGATATATTATCAATTTATTGGTCTCCTGTATGGATACTAACTTTCCCTCTCAAGGAAAGCGAGGCACTTTAATCAGGACCTGAGGTCTTGATTAATTGACGACTGAGGATTATGCATGATAGCAGGAGAGGGGGAAAATCAAAGTTTTCACTGTCAAGACAAGACATCCCATACAGATTTCAAGGATGCTGGCTATGAGCCAACTAAAAATACAGCATACTTCAACTGCAGAAGCTTCACCTACATTCTAAGACAGTCTTCAGTGAAATACTAACTTTTGCCTTGAAGGAAAGTCAGAAAAGGCCACATAAAACTCTTTAGATGGTGGTATGTTCCCATGGTCACGGGCGAAGTGGCGCACTGCTCTGCAAAGAAATGGGTACACCCTGTGGACACAGAGAGAGATTAAACTGATAGAGGCCCATTACTTCCAAGCAAACAACCACCCTAATGAGACTATCACTCATAAAGGGCCCACATCCTACATTTTTTGTAGTAAAGGGAGATTCACCAGTTCATTCTGTATACTGGTTGAAATTCTTTTTAAAGTATTAGTTTTGTCATTACCATTATATCGGTATTCAGATAACGTGATGTACAAACAGTGAAAAACACACTGATGCCCTCACCTCTTGTGTAGTGAGTTGAGGCCTGAGGTAAGTAAGGGGAAGAAGTGGAAGGAAAAGCCAGTCTCTCGGGATTAGCCATTAGCCTAGCATGGAGACTAGCTGGTGTTCTGACAAACTGTGCTACTTTTTACCTTTTTTAAAAAAATCCTGCCAACAATAAAACCACAAGGCCGAAATCAGATTTTTGTTCAAATTTTCCCATTCCACCTTAAATGGTCCAACAGTTCTTATTATGATGCCTCAGGTGCCACAATGTAACTGCTACACCATTTAAGGCAGAACGGTAAAATTCAAACAAGAAGCCAGCGAATGTCCTTACCAGAATATGTTACCAGCATGAAAAGAATAATTAGGATATTCTGATAGACTAAATCAGCTTATCAGGGGGTAAGTAGTAATATGAGGCTTAAGTCTGTGCTGAATTAAATGCACGAGACAAATGACTTTGGGACGCAAAACAACACTCAGCGCTGATTCCGTCAGGCTCAGAGAAGCCACTGTGGGCTTTACATACACTCACCTTTATCGAGTTAGGGTGAAAAAGCAGTACTGACACCCGTCTATATATTGGTAATTTCTGTTTTTACTATGTCACCCATTAACATTATTTTAGATTTACTTCAGTTGTCAAATACGGTTCCTATTAAAAGTGAAGCGACATCCAGAATTTTACACCATGGTTAATCTACAAAAAAGGTTTACTTAAGCACCCCAAACGGTTTTATTTGAAAATAGTATACATAAATAATACTACAATATAATATACTTAAATACATAAATAATACTATATATGGGCTGCATGGACTGAGGAGTAAACAGAATATTTATAAATATTAACAATTTAACAAGAATGTCTGATGTCGAATAGGAGTTATTTTGAGAAAATAAGTCAGCATTTAGAGATAAGTCAGTCTGAATATCATGAAACACAGTCACAATACTCTGACTGCATTTCTTTAGGTCACCAAGTGAGCCTAATGAGATGTTTCACCTCTGAAAAAGAGTCTCTCAGATGGCCTACCTGTAATACTCCTCCTGAATAGTGGTGGCCAGTTGCTGGTTGTACTGCTCAATGTTGGTGAAACTCACAGTCAGCGTGTTTCTCTCAGGTCGGATGAGCTCCTGAGCTTCGGGTAAATACAGTGGATCTCCAACTTTATCCTGAAACCTAATGAAACCAACAAATGTTACAAATCCGAAATCAGCTTCCTGTTTGAATTTTCCTGTTCTACCTTAAATGGTTGAGGGAGATTTGCTGATAAAGTGAAAGATTTTAAGAAATAATGTTAATAACTGTAATCATAACTAATCATCTTATACTTTATGGCTCACTCTGGGCAGCTCTCCCTGTGTGTGTGTGCCTGTGTGACCTGACTATGTGGCACGTGCCAAGCAGGCTTTATTGTGTGAAAAGCTGGGGCCTGGAGAAGCACACGCACGCACGCACGCACGCGCGCACACACACACACACACACATCCTGTTTGTACTATGTACCATTAAGAATGTCTCTGAGAGGAGAAACACATACATAGAGATACTCAGCTGTAAACACATTAATGGTTGATTTGAATCCATACTACTATACTGTGTTGGTTCTCTCTCTCTCCGCATATGCTTGAGTTCAGTCCTGGAGTGCTACATATGTTTCAACCAGGCATGAGAAACACTGCTCAGTCCCATCTTGAACATAAATTGTAATTATGATAGAGACACCTGGCCATTGTTAAGGAGCCTGGGCCTGCCTGCACACGCACGCGCAGTTTGGGCCATAACTTCATTTTCACCCATTTCATGTACAAAACATTTTAACACTTCCATGGCTAGTCACAATTGGGAATAACCTGTTTAGTCACAATAACGGGATAATCAATCGATTCTAACTTATTTTGTACTCTCTTGATCAATATAAAAAGAGAAAAGGGGATATGTTATAACCAAGTGTGTTTTAACTTATAGATAACAGTATGATCAAATGTAATAGCTTAAGGCCAGTGATTATTTTATGTAATGGTGTATTAATGAAGTGAAATGAACTGAAATGGGTGATGAAGGATGACATGGCACTTTTAGAAGAAGAAAAAAAGGTGTTTGTGACAGAAGGCCAAGGCTGAAGAAACAACATACATAAAAAGGTACAAAATTGTTACTGTTGTAATTGAACTCGGTGAAGTCAAAGTTGTATGTGACAGTAAGAAAGATCGGGTGAGATGAGGTAATGGGGGTGGGTAACCCCTCCAGAGCAATCATCATTGTAAAGCCCTAATCTTTTATATAAGATAGTATCTTTCTCTGCCATTCTTGGTGTTAATAATTGTTTTGTACTAGGTAAAGTTTTATTTTTGAATGAGAAGCATGCCGTTTTTTTCAACGAGGGTGACACTGGTTTTTGTTATAATTTACCCGTTCCACCTTAAATGGTGCAGCAATTACTATGATAACGCCTCAGGCGCCAAAATGTAGCTGCTGCATCATTTAAGGTGCAACCAGAAAATTCGAACAAGACACTGGCGAACAGGAAGTCAACTTGAGTCTCGTATAAAACGTCTGAGGATCGTTTATCGATAGCCGTTAGCCTGTTTAGCCGACTGAGAGCGTTTCCACCAGAGAAAAAACCCAAATAGCTCGACTTACTCCTCCAGAAACTCCAGAAAGAGTTTTTGACACTTCTCGGCCAGGTCATCCCGCACCTGCACGCCCGCGTTGTTGGTTTCTGCTACAGGTTCCATGGCCCAAAATAAAAAACAGAAGCCGAGGAAAGAGAAGAGCTGCTGAGGGGAGCCGGTTCAGCACATACACAGCCACAGCACGGCGAGGTGCTAATGAGGCCTGGCCAGGAGCAGGTGAGCAGTCACGTGCACTGATTAGCCTGGGACTCTTTACCTGCTGTCTTCGGTCACAACTACCACTCGCTGCAGAGCCAGAAGTCTAAAGGGGTGGAGCCGGACCTGATCCAACTCCGCCCACGTCTACTTTTCATTGGTCTAAAATCATCGTATTTCTATAGGTCTTTAAACTAGTATGTGTTTCTTACGTTTTCCGGCTACGATTTATTTCATTGATCTACCCTGTCGCGTTTTTACCTGTGGGAAATGATGCTGGTGTGTTTGTTTATTTTCTCGTCCTGAATGCCACAACACAGCCTTTATAATCGCTCATGGTTCACGACGTTCACACTCATTCGTCAAAACTCAAGAAGCTTTTTTCACATTCCGGTACAAAGTCCGTTCTGTAGGCCTACATCTCAGGTGTACTTATGATAGACAGGTTCTAGTTGAAAACGCTGAACGTTTTTAAACACTAGAATGCACATACGACAGGTCAAAATAACCCACATAACTGTGTTTTATCAGCTAAATCCTGGAATTTCATAATAAAAATCTTTGTAACGACTACATTTAAAAGGATTTGGTATTACTGCCACACATTTCCATAAGTCTAATAAAAATGACTCAATATGCCTAAAAAAATCATATCATATTAAATGTTATATACCCTGATAAGCCACTTTATTAGCTCATTCTACCTTGTTTCCCTATGGGAGGCAAATCCAGCCAAAAACGAAATTAAAATTAAAACCATAAAATGAAAATGCAAACCTCTTTTTGCCATTTCTTTTTCCAAACATCTGAGCACATATCCTACCAAAATTGAAAATGAAATGAAATGTCTACATTTGCAATTTCATTTTTCACATAAGCACGAGCAATTTGTGACAAAAATAAAAATAAATGCAAAACAGCTATTTTTCATTTCATTTTAGTCGTAATTCTGGTTTTTCACGGTCAAATCTAAAATGAAAAAGCTAATAGAGAAAAGAAAATCCAAGCTTCACTTTGGCTTTGGCTTTTCTCCATGAAATGCAGAATACGTGTCAAAACTAAATAAAAATGCAGTGTTTATGTTCTTATTTCTTTTTCACAGCAATCGGCTGCATATCTGACAAAATGAAAATGGATAATGGATAAATCAACAGCAAAGTGACGGTTTGTGATTCAGTTTTCGTCGTGGACGCGCTTTAAGTGTCAGAATGAAAAGGCAAATGCAAACGAACATCAGCGCCACCTGCTGGACATTTACTTTACATTTTCCACTTTTCGATTTCGTTTTCAAACTGACCAACATGCAAATATGTGTTAATTAGCAGTAGGCGGGGCTACGGGGTACATTTTAGGACATCCTCAGACCTCCGAGTCAGAGCGGTATCATTCCTCAAGCTAAACGACTTTGAGTCTCGAGAAAAACCATCAGCATGACTCAGATCTGGCGAAACTGAACGTCAGCACAAACGCCGTCAGACCAGACGGCCTCAGAGAAAAGGTATCAGACCAAACGCAGGCCTGGTCGAGCACATACTGGTTCGTATAACGATCTCGATATAAATGCCAGTATAACGTTTCCATTTTTTTCTGACGGTGTTTGTGCTGACGTTCAGTTTCACCAGATCTGAGTCATGACGATGGTTTTTTCTAGAGACTCGAAGTCGTTTAGCTTTTTTATCAGCTCCGCTCTAGTTCAGACCAATTAAAACACGACGTGGGAGGAGTTGGATCAGATCCAGCCGCACCCACTGGACTTTCGGTTCCGCAGCGAGGACCATCTCGTCTTCGGGTAGGAGGAACCACACAGGACAACTTAGAACTTCTAAGCCCTGAGTTTTAACACCAGTGCATACAGCGGCGTTTTAGGGCCACTAATAAAAATAAAAATAGTAGACTTAGAGAAAAAAGTCGTATGGTATGATGTTTCGAGAAAAAAAAGTACTATTTCGAGAAAAAAAAGTCGTAATGTTTTGAGAAAAAAGTCGTAGTATTTCGAGAAAAAAGTCGTAATATTGCGAGGAAAAAAAGTCGTAGAATTACGACATTAAAGTGGCATTAATAGCAGGAAAGGTTGTGGCCAAAGGCTTTGCAAAGGGAAGGCAGCACCTCCTCGTGTTATGATGAGGGGTGCTGAGGGTTGGCGGAGTTACACTTTCATATCGATTTCACCCATAAAGTAAATACTCGGTCTCCCTGTCTCTCCTGCACATCAGCACCAGCCTGTTATAGTACAAGAAACGGCTGAGCAGGAAACTGTTTATTTGAATAAAGAGCCAGACGGACTCTGTCTGTCTTGTTGAAGGAGAATCGCAGGCACTGACCGTCTACACGGCTACCGGGGCTACATCTCCGCGCCATTCAAAGAGGGCATGAAGTTCCACAGACTGTGAGAATGATAATCAACACGAGACAGGAGAGAGTGGAACTCCAGTACAGCTTTCCAGAGCCCAACGCATTATGGCAGCCCCCTACAGTTAGCCCACTGTCTCCTCTAAAAATATGACTTTATTCTAGAAATATTACGACTTTTTTTCTCGAAATATAACGATTTTTTTTCTCGAAATATCACGACTTTATTCTCTTAAGTCTACTATTTTTATAACAGTGGCCCTAAAACGCCGTCATAAGTGCAGCATTGTAGATGTAGTTATGAGAGAACAGTTAGACCTATTCTAAAAGTACATGAATTAATGAATGAATGAATGAGTGGGATTGAAGTCTAAAGGGGAATTCCACCGATTTTTCACTTTTTTTTTTTGCACAATTCAGTGGTTGGGACATAAACAAAGTCATTCAGAGTGGTTTGATGTGAAATGATTCATTTGCAGAGAAACTTACCGAAGGTTTCTTTACAGTGGTGATGATGGGAACCAGGAGTCACAATGTTTACAACTCAAATATAGCCATTTCATTTACTATCCAAAACCACCAATGGACCTGCATGTTTTCTGAGCTTTTTTAATGTACTCAGTGTGTTCATAAGCATTTCATGTAATAACTTTCAGTGAGGAGCTTTTTGAGGCATTAAACTCCTTAGACGTGGTTCCCATCACCACCACTGTGAGCAATTCTGACTCTAAGTACCTATAGAATGGAGCATTTCACACCAAACCACTCTCAATGATTTTGTTGACATTAAAAATTGAGTTATGTATAAATTTGGAAAAATTGGTGGAGTTCCCCTTTAAATTAGAAAGGCATTCACATATTTCAGATTCCCTGCTCCTGTGCAGAGACCAATAGTAATTCGTTTGTTTCATTTACTTCAAGTACGATTTTGATGGCTTTGTACTTTTCTGGTCATTTTCAAATGTCACTACTTTTCCTTCTGCACTCAATATTTATAAGAAAAGTAATTTACTTTCACTTTGGTCCTCTTTAGCCACTCACATTCAGTACCTAAGTTTTCTAATTACAATCTGTTTTGTTGGTTCAGCTAATGGGATATTTTAGACCAAAAGGATACAAAAAGAGAATAATGTAGTCTAACAAACTTTAGTTCCTATGCTGATAGATGCTGGATGGACAAAGACGTTCCTCTGCGCTCTAAAGGGAACTCGGTACTGGGCTTGATGTAAATTCAGGAATAATGATGCAGAAAATAACCACATCTGTGCTGTGAAGTATGGTGGTGGACCTGTGATGGTAGACTCTTAAAAAAAGGTTCTTTTACATGATGAAAGAGTTCTTTGCATGGTGAAATGGTTCCTGACATAGATAATGTCTTGTGCATGGTTCTATATAGAACCTTTTTGAAAACAGTTCTACAGAGTACCAAAAAGAGTTCTTTTATTCTCATGATGTCAAGCTTGTAGCAAAAGAATAACCCTTTTTGATCATATATAGAACCCTTTACAAAAAGGTTCTATATAGAACCATACACAAGACATTATCCATCAGTCTAAGGAACCATTTCACTGTGCAAAGAACTCTTTATATAGAACCATCTACAGCGTATTCTCCATCAGTCTGAAGAACTGTTTCACTATGCAAAGAACCCTTTAATCATGCAAGAGGTTCTTTGAGTGTTCATGGTTCTATACAGAACCATTTTCTTTACTAAAGAACCCTTGAAGGACCATCTTTTTAAAGAGTGTAGAATGTATGGCAGCGGTGCCCAATCACAAAATCCCTGCTACTGTCACTAGAACGTAATACAGGGGTACCAATATTGCAACACACAATAAGAAATGAGACCTTTTTGTTAATAATCATTAACAACAATAATGAAACCCTTTTTGATGCTATACAGATGCATTTTAAATTGGGAGATTATACAGAATAATAACAGCCTAATAATAATACAAGTTTCAATTCCAAAGGAAGTTGGGACAGTAAGTAAAACCTTGCAATCTCCATAGACAAACACTGGCAGTGGAACAGGTTGTACTGATGAGCTCAGTGACTTTAAACATGCCGCCTCTGCCACAAGTCAGTTTGTGAAATTTCTGTCCTGCTAGATCTGCCCATCAATTGTAAGTGCTATTACTGTGAAATGGAAGCATCTAGGAGCAACAACAGCTCAGCCACCAAGTGCTAGACCACACAAATTAAGAGTGGGGCCACCGAGTGCTGAATCCTCTGTTGAATCCACTCACTAATGAGTTCCAAATAGCCTCTGGAAAGCAACATCAGCAATCATCGCCCAAGAACGTGGGTGTAATGTGTAGGTGTCCCAATACTTTTGTCATATATATATATATATATATAATATATATATATATATATATAAAACATTGCCTTTACTAAAGAACCTCTCTCAAGTAAAAAGACTTTTCTGATGGTGCTGGTCACAGATAAACTCTGTTAATAATAACTGGGTACCTATAATTATGAAGGGCACAATTCAGTGCACAAAGAATCTTCAGATTTGTGTTTACAGTGAACATCATTATGTCCTCATGAACACCCAACAACTCCAGTGACTCCACAGCATCAGACGGCATACAGAAACCTTTAATTTTTATTTACCACACATTTAAAAAAGTGAACCACACTATACAAATGGTTTTTCTTATAGCAGGAAACGATGCTGAGTACACATCTGAGGACCTGGTCAAACACACGTTCTTTTCCCTGGGATGTGCGGCTAAAATTGCACCTTTTTTCTTTTCCTCTTTTAAAACACTTCACCGCTACACTACGCGGCAGTATTCTTAATTCTTCTAATAATGCCATACTTTTTCCGTTTGTTCTGATTTTTTGGATGATTTTCTTTCATTTAAATAGATAGGCAGTTTGCATGCAACCCCTAGAAGGGTTTCTGAATGGGTGTTTCAGTAATAGTTTGCTTTTCACAAGATTTAAGGTAGTAGGTCTCCGTCCAGGTTTATTTACAATGATGAAGTTTGTCCGTCCTGAGCCGGGTCAGGTGAAGCGAGCCGCTCCGATACACTCATGGTGCTTTAAAGGGAAGTCCAGCTCAGCAGACGCCTGCTACGATGATTTACACACACACACACACACACACACACACACACACACACACGCACACACACGCACACACACGCACACACACACGCACACACACACGCACACACACATACTCTCGTGCTGTCTTCCTTCTTTGACTTTCAAAATCCCTTCTGCGCTCATACATTCCCAACGACATAGGCAGAACGTCAAAAGGAATGATGTTTATTACATAAGAGACAACTTAAAAGAGAGCAAGAGAGACAGAGGGAAGATGCGGAGGGGTGAACGAAAAGAAAACGTTTAAGCCAAGTAGCTGTAGGTGTCCTTTTCGCCGTCCACTCTCTCCAGGTATTCCTTCTCTATGAGGATGTCAATGCATTTCTGAAAGTGGAAAGGCAAATCAGTGATTAGAATCATAATAAACAGTCCACTCTTTATATTTAGTGAAGCCATTTCTGTAGGTTTTTACTTTAAGTTCCACATTCCTGGCTAATGATAAACATATGGTAGGTTGTGCTGCTCTAAAAAAGTGACCTCCACTAGAAAGTACTCTTTTGAGAGTCTGAGGAGGCTAAGCATGTTGAATAAAAATATCAGCTGCAGTAAACGTTTCCTTTATGACAAAGAACACAGATTTATTCAGATATGGCTTAGAGTCTATGCCGAAGCAGATAAAAGGGAGAGTTCTCAATGTTCCAGTAATGAGTTGGGCCGGTTACTGTGAGCTAACATATATAAACCCACAAACAATAAAAACACAAGAACCCACAGGGTGCCTTATGACTTGGGCCCGACCATTATATTGGTTGGCCGATAACATAAGTCAGTATGAATGACTTGGTTTTTTAGGCATCAGCGAAAATACTGCAAATAAAACTTCAATAATTTGTGTTTTTTTGGTTACAGCATTGCTGGGATTCAAACCCACTATCTCCTGACAACAGGGGAATGCCACTGAGAAACTCCTCCAAAGACACTTCCAGTTTAACTTTGTGGCAGCAATACAAGCTGAACTGGGGAAGTTGAACACAAAACACCTTATTTTAAATGACAAAAACATCTAAAATGCAACTAACCTTAACTCTAAACTAAAACACACACACAAAAAAAATGTCCTATGAAGAAAACTGATGAAAAATAATGGGTAGTTATCAGATGCCAAACCGCAAAGGTACTGTACATATTTAAAGTAATGTGAGTTTCTGCTGTTAATATAGTTTAATAAAACTGACTATCGAGGAAAATTTATTTCACAATTCACAGTAGACAATCACAATCAGAGTCTAAATAATAATTTCAGACATATTTAACTAAAACTATTAGAGTATAAATAAAATATAAATAGAAAATTATATCAGCCAATATAAACAGCAATAGCAATGTTCACTCCTTTTTTCATATTGGTGAGACCCTATTATTACCACAATTTAGCAATATCACTGCCTGGCTAGGCTACTGCACGCTGAGTATCACTGAATATAAAATATTAACAGCACAAACTAGGCTAACACAAGTGAGTGTATTTTGTACATGCTCCTAGTGGTATGGCAAAAAATAGACTTGGAGTTTGAAACCACAGGTTGTATGTGTTTTACCGCTGTTTGCAATACACAACCAGTATCAAAAATCCTCTTGATTAACACAGGACCGCACTGTAAGCACCACAGCAGTGATGTAATGAAAATGCTGTGTATTGTAGAAATGCTGTGCTTCCTGCTTCTGGTTTAAAATACGTTTTCATACTTTGCAAATATTTTTAAAACTTAAATGACAATGCTTTTTGATGAATAATTAACCAGAAACATGTACAGCTGCAGCATAGCAGTGTCGCTGTGAACATTGCACCCAAATGCACATACGCATATTTTAGAGCTGCTAAGAATAAGCATTCACTTTTTACCTTGATGACAGGAACTCGGGGCTTGAATCTAGAAGAGAGTTGGTTAAGGACCTCGGCCAATAGCTGCTGGTGCTTCAGCATCTTCCTCATCTTCATGATTCGCACTATGGCTGCCTGCATGAGCAGAGATACAAGTTTGTTTTAATCATTTGATTTTCTTACACCAGATGTCATATGTATGAAGGGTCTTTACAGTCTACATAAAGATCAATATTTGTAAAGCTTGATGTGAGAAAGTATGTACTCCTCTACATTCTCTAGAGGTGGTGGCATATTTAGAGAATGAGAATGACTGACATTAGTGGAAAAATACAGAATGAACTGGAAATGTGATTCACAACGGAATACTTTTTTTCACTACTGATGCAAATCATATAACTATGAGTTTACTGGGTATTGATAAAAAATTCTCTGACATGAATGTGACTTTCTCCAAATGATCAATCTGTGTAGTCATTAATGTTTACTGTAACCTATAGAAGACACTGCTTGGCACTTTTGGAAGATTTGGAGAATCAGTTGTGAAACTGTGTCTTTGTCATGTGTGGTTTTTTTTGTTATTAAGGGGTTAATTAAGGTTGTTTTTGAAACTTATGGGTAAATATGTCTACACTTTCATACATTATGGCCCCAGGGGTCAGAGTAAACTATGTGTCAAAAACTGATGGAGACATTTTAATGAATATGTAGGAAATTATGTAGCAACAACTGCTGATTTTTGGCAGACAGATTAGGAAGTGTGGAACAAATGGGGAAGGTGTCTCAGATTGCAGAGTGAGTGCTTACCTGTATCAACAGTTTCCTGTCTTCCTCAATGTTTTTGTGAGTGGTTTCCTGTTCTTGCTTCTGCTCGGTCTTCATTGGCACATTGATGTTCACTCGCAGCTTTTTACTGCATACATGAGATGAAGAGGAATTCATATATTGTAACAGTAAAGACTATGGAATAGTGTTGAAAAAAAATACCATTTTCATGTCTTTTGTGTATATGTTATTTTCAGGGACAACACAAATGAATCAACATTAGCAAAATAATACCATCAGTGAAAATGTGGCCAAGTACACTTTTTACATGTAGTCCTTTTTATCATATTATTTAGTCTGTAGTGTCAAACTGGAGAACATGTTAAAAATATTCAGTGACCTACTTTTTATAACCCAGGTAGAGCTTTATTAGGGTGTCTGGTTTAAACTCAACCTCGTCCACATTAGCATTCTCATCCTCCAGCACCTGCACCATGACATACAGCAATCAGTCAGCATGTTGGTCTCACAGGGTTGCCATTCAGTGGTCTTGCTTGAAAGAATGTTTGACTGAAAATGCTATAATTGCTCAACTTTGAATGAAAGGTAATAGGGGCCAGTAGCATTATACCAATGAAATTGGTCAAATTTGGCATAACATTAACTGCTACTTCCTACGTTTTATGACATTGTCATGAAAAGCAATAGAAATAATAAAAAAAATTGAGTAAACTATTCCTTTCACAATTCAGAATTCAAAAATGACACTTGCCAGCAATTTAGACTTCAATAAAATTTGCAGGACCTGCACCAAAATATCCTGTAAATAAATAAAGAACAATGTAAGTGTTCTATATAGTGACATTTTATGATAAAACCAGACACATTTATCCTGTTCATGACAGCGCAAGTTTTCACTGAGATTTGGCTAGTTGTACCAAGTGCTACTTTGTACAGTGTGATCAAAGCTACTCACTATTTTGATCTGAGTGCTGTCAGTCAGCTGCTGGACCGTGTACACATCCTCTGTGTTGTACTGTAGCAGGATAGCCATCTGAAACGTGGAGGCCTACAGATAAAAGAGAAGCATTTACCAAACTTGATTTCATGACAACTGGAGGCTATCAATGTGCATTACCTAGTGACAGCATTATAGCTTTGGCTAACATTCAGAACAGGGCTGCATAGTACAGACAAAAACCATCAACTAGTGCTGTAGATACACTGAAATTATCGCAGCATGCCTTGCAAAATATTAAAACATCAATGAATTAATTCACTAGCATTACTTTGACCATGATTATATGATTTCATTGATTTGTGAAAATACTCACAGAGCTCACGGGGATACAGGAAAAAAACCCACTGGGTATGGGTTAGAGGCTTGTTTGCATTTTCCAACCTTCTGTGCCTTCAGTATTACAAAGGCTAATATTGTAATAAAAATTAACAAATGATATATTGTGCAGCTGTAATTGAGAGCCAAAACATGAATTCAGAACTGTCTTGGTTCACCAACTGTAGTTTGGTATGTGAGAAAATGAGTTTCTGTTTAAACTATCCTTGAGCAGTAGGAGTGTAACAATACACAATTCAAAATTTCATTTGTTACGATATAGTGGTGTCTGAATATGTGCCTCGTGTTCATATGTGAATGTCTGTGCCCTGCACCATGTCAGTGATCAAAACTAAGCATCTGGTGCATCCTACCAGAATAAAACTCAAATGACTGGAGTTTTTTTAAACTGAATTTTTAAAAGCTACAGTTAAAAATCCAGTCATTGAAGCATGGATATGTCTATAGAATAATTCCAATTTACTTTATTCTGATAGGATGATATTGATAAAGATGGACAGAAGAGGCTGAGGGGTGTATTGGCGACATGGTTTTAAATTTTGTTACTGTCTTAAATTCAATTTTTCTATACTGTACTGAAATTGTTTCACCCTTACTAAAGAGAATAGAAATCTTAGACTTTTGATTCCACACCAGTAGACAGGATTCATTGTTCAATCCAACAGCAAATAAGCAGAGCTGAAAGTCTAAACCTAGACTTGCTATTTATATAATGGTGACAGTAAGCAGTATTTCTTTTTCTTGTTGCAAGTGTGTCCTACCTGCAGTGTGTATCTGTTCTTGAAGCAGTTGGTGACCAGCTCCCCTTTGGACAGGTGGTAGAGCCAGGTGAGCTTGCGGCCGCTGTGTCTGCTGGCATAGAAGGCTGTGAACCTTTGGTAGCTTCTCTCCAACTGTGTGTGATTGTGAGTGTGGAGAGAGCAACAGTGCATTCAGTAAACAGCTACGAAACCCTGTCACAAAGTAATGCAATAAAGACGCTCCTCAGTTAAAGGCATAATTAAGAACTATAAGGCCTTATTGTAACCAAAACAATTGTTACTGAAACATTACTGAACATGTCCGTATGTGATTAGGGGTTCTGAGGACATTCAGTGAAGCAGATAATATCCTTGGCTGAGGTGATAAAGCACACTTGGTTGTGGAAATGAACTTGTGAGCAAGATGTTAACCACCATCCTATGCCAATTATTTAGCCTGCTCCTCTTTCTTTCAGTTACTATAGGCTGAACAGTATGACTGCAGTGTAAATAGTATGATATGCTGTTTGTTGTACCTCAGAAGGCAAAGCAAAAGTGCAGGACTGCTGGAAAGGCCAGGAACCAGAGCTTAGCACCTGGATACTGAAGTCCACTGAAGAAAAGAAACAGTTTATGAGCAATTCAGGAAACTACACAGGAGCAAATTTTGGCCCGTTTCAATGAAAGGATAAATCTTTTGCAATAGGGGTGTAACAATGCACTTACACAGAAATATGCCAATGTGCATCAGAAAGAAGAGAGATTTCAACTGTATTCTATTACTCATTCCATCTAACACAACAAACCAGGGGGAACACACTGGTATGCGTTGGCAAACATGCAAGGTTCTTGCTTGCTACTAAACGCTTCAAAAGAAAAGTCCCGAATAACTCACTGCAATTCCGTGAACTTTTCACACTTTTTACAATCTAGAGACTACACACACTAAGCACTTCATTAGGAACACCTGTATACCTACCCATTTATGCAATTATCTAATCAGCCAATCATGTGGCAACAGTGCAGCACAGATACAGGTCAGCAGCTTTAGGTGATGTTCACATCAACCATCAGAATGGGGAAAAAATGTGATCTCAACGATTGACTGTGGCAGGATTGTTTGTATTTCTAGAACTGCTGATCTCCTGGGATTTTCCACACACAACAGTCTCTAGAGTTGGACTGTTTACTCAGAATGGTGCAATAAAGAAAAAACATCCAGTGAGTGGAAGTTCTGCAGACAAAAGTGTGTTGATGATGAGAGAAGTCAATGGACAATGGCCAGACAGGTTTGAGCTGTCAGAGAGGCTACAGTGGCTCAGATAACCACTCAGTGCAACTGTGGTGAGCAGAAAAGCACAATCAGAATGCACAATGCATCGAACCTTGAGGTGGATGGGCTACAACAGCAGAAGCTCACGTCGGGTTACACTTTTGTCAGCCAAGAACAGAAAGCTGAGGCTGCAGTAGGCACAGGCTCACCAAAACTGGGCAGGTAAAGACTGGAAAAACATAGCCTGGTCTCTCAATTTCAGCTAAGTCACACAAACGGCAGGGTCAGAACTGGGCGCCAACAGCACATGTCCAATTTGACCCAACCTGTCTTGCGTCAACAGTCCAGGCTGGTGGAGGTGGTGTAATGGTGTGGGGAATGTTTTCGTGGCACACTTTGGGCCTGTTAATACCAATCAATCATCACATGAATGCCACAGCCAATTTGAGTATTGTTGCTGACCATGTGCTTCATGGCCACAGTTTACCATCTTCTAAAGGCAGCCAGCATGACAATGCACCATGTCACAAAGCAAAAGTTGTCTCAAACTGGTTTCATGAACGTGACAATAACTTCAGTGTTCTTCAGTAGCCTTTCCAGTCACTGGATCTGAATCCAATAGAACACCTTTGGGATGTGGCAGAACGACAGATTTGCACGTTATAAAAAAGGTGCCCCTGAAAAATCTTCAGGAACTGCATGATGCAATCATGTCAACATGGAACAGAATCTCAATGGAATGTTTCCAACATCTTATGTAATCCATGATGCTGTTCTGAGAAAGGCCCTACACAGTATTAGTATAGTGTTCGTAATAAAGTGCTCAGTGAGTGTATATCTTGCTCCGAAAGGCTGAATCACGGCTTGCAGAGCAGGTTACTGCTCACAAAAGTGTGTTTCTCATTGGACTGATAAAATCTGCTGCATTTGTTCAAATTATCTTGAGAATACTGACTCAGGAACTAAATCCAATCATGAGCTGAATATAGTTACACCCCTATTTAGCAATGCTCCTCAGATCATGCATACGTACAATCTAAAGGCTCAGAGTTGGTGAGGTGCTTCTTGAATTGCTCGTTTAGATCTTTACTGACGCCAATGTCCTGGAACATGCGCTGGAGCTTGGACGTGTACTCAAAGCCGCACGCTTGCTGCAAGAAGACAGAGTGTCACATTCGGTTATTTAAAACACAAACTGATGACTCACTGTCAAATTCCACTAGGACTATGCCAAGACTGAGCATAAAAAGCCTTCTGCTTTTATTAGAGCTCTTCCTAAATCATTTTCAAGCGAGATGGGCGTCATGGGAACCTGACACCATTTTCTATTTTTATCAATTTACTGGAAAAATTCTGGTGTTAAAGTGAGTCGTTCCATACAAAAAGGTACTATATGTAAAATTGTACTGCAATGTATCTTGTTTATATTTGTGAATTTTAATTTTGCAATTACACTTTAACCATTGATAAACTTTAATGAAGTTCTTTATGTTCCTTCATAAAATGTCCAACAAAATGGTATTTGTTTCAGAGAAAACCACTTTTAGCCAGGGCTGTACAATGCGACAATACAGTCACAAACCTAGGGAAAAGGCCAACCAGACTACACTAAGGATTTCTGCAAAGCACAGAGGTGAAAACAGCAAAGCCTGGGGCTGTTTTTCTTACAATAGTGTTGGTGAGTGTTCACTGCTGGGATCATGAACACAAAAGTAATAGGAGCAAATGGTACAATGCACAGTGTACAAGCTAGATTGTCATTTTAATTTTTCTCTCATTTACGTCTTTATCTCATTTATGTCTTATTTAATTTATTGTAAGCAATAATTCATTGAACCTTTAAGATCGAGAAGGAAAATGGGATTCTTTGTGTGCTTAATTAAGTTTTCTAATACTGAAATAAAAGGCTGTTTCACTAACAGAAAATTTTTAAAAAAAAGAGAGAACAAAGGCATTTTGGACGCATACAGACTTCTGCAAAGAAACTGCTCGAATGATAACAACTTGAAATAAACCAGCTGGCTTTTCTGTTTAAAATAGCCTAAATGCCACTAAATGACAATGTTTTGTTTCCCAACACAATGAACTTAATGCATGAAGTATGGTACAAGTGCCCAAATGCTTTTTTGGAGCCACTGTACATTTTATATTGAGAACATCATACTGTATATCATTTTTGTAGAGGACTGCACCTTCAGTTTTGAGATCATGCTGGCCTCTGCATCATCACTGGCACTGTTCTGATGGACCAGTCGCTTGGCCAGCATCTTCGCATAGAACTTCTGAAACACATCTTTATCCTCTATGTATTTAAAGACCACCATCTACAGTAGGAGGAAAAATGAGAATTCAAATGCGGAGCTGTTACCAAAATATCTGCACTGCAGTAAGAATACAACAGCATACAGACAGCTGTAGGCATCTATGTAAAGAAGGAGTAAATTTGACTTTGGTCAATAAGCTCATGTTTCGGTTACAGCAAAAACTCACCACTTGATTCAGAGTGTCTTCAAGCTCTGCTTCCTCTGGGTTCTTGGAGCTGGGCAGATACAGAAGAGAAAATGTATTAGATCCTCTCCAAACTGAGCAGAGGAAAACCATCCACACTCAGATCCTCACTTCAAATACCTTAACATGCATTTACATGTTTCTGAAGAGTAACTGAGGGATTAGTGAACCAATATGGGCTCGTTGAGATGCACGCACCTTTTCTTAAGCAGTGAGTCACAGTATCGGGCCAGGAGTTCAGGAGATTTGCTAGAGGACTGGACCATCTTGGTGACTGCATTATTGTTGATGAAGCGCCCACAGGCCTGTTTGGAAAGCAACATGGTAACTACCTCAACAGCAATGAAACAATCTTAGAGAGGTTAAACATTAGTGCTATCACTATGAGTTACATTAGTAATTGAGGAACCTACCAATTATTTTGATGATAGAGTAATCTGCTTTTGAAAAAGGGTCAAACAACAAACAGAAACTTAACTAAAACAACAACAACTAGAGGCTTGACAAAACCACTGCTATGAAATCCCAGGTGGTAGATAGTGTGCTGCTAGGGTATCTCAGGTGGCTGCTAAGTTGTTGTTAGGCCACTGCCATGGAATCCCAGGCAGTCACTAAGGTGTTGCAAGGCTGATGCTATAGTATCCAAGGTGGTTGCTAAGTTGTTGCTATGCCATTGCCATGGTATTCCAGGTGGTCGCTAAGGTGTTGCCAGGCCATTGCTATGTATCCCAAGTGGTTGCTAAGGTGTTGCAAGGCCATCCCCAGGTTGTTAAGGTGTTTCTAGACCATTGCTAAGGTATCTAAAATGGTTGCCAAGGTTTTGCTAGGCAATTGTTATGGTATTTCAGGTGGTTGCTAAGTTGTTGCTTGGCCATTACTATATTTTCCCAGGTGATTGCTAACGTGTTGCTAGGCCGTATCCCAAGAGGTTGCTAAGGTGCATATATGTGTGCTAGTAAGTAAGAGAATTTGTATGTCATGTCTGTGAGTGGCAGTGTGAGAGATAATTTATGGCAGTTAGGTTTGAATTTTCTCAAAACGCCATTCGTCTGCTAAGGGGAAATATTTTTTTTAATGAACACTGTACCAAATCTATGTATGTGCGATTGGTCCCAAAAGCACAAGTGCACTATTCTCATATCAGCTATAAGATCTGATAAAGTTTCATGGCTCTGGCTTGGAAAAAAAATTGTACATTGTACCTTACATGGTTATCACTACATATTTCTATAATCAGCCCTGAATGTGGATGGGTTATGCATTTTACAAAGAGACATGAAAATAACCCCAGTAGAGTACTCTATCAGGCCTGACACCAATCACAAATGCTGGTATAAGTGCATCTCAATTAAACACGGATTAACTATGGAGTGGAAGTAGATACCCTTAATGAGGAGCATACCTTATCCAGTGCAGCAACAAAGCCAGCATCATTGTTAAATGCAGACATCACCAAAGCATTATATTTCTTATGGACATCCAAAATAGTCTGGACGTACATTTTGGGGTCCTGTGTTAAAGATATATAAATATATATAAAAAAAAAAAGAATACATGCAAGTCAACAAACTGAAAAAGAAAAAAATTAGCTGAGTCATATGGTCAAAGATTATGTAATTTAATTCATTAGACAGATGTTTGAACATGTCTAGACAAACTGTGCTTACGTTGAGAGCAGCCTCCCCACATTTCTCGATAGCAGCCAGGCCCTGGTTGTAGATATGTGTTTCCAGAAGCTTTTTGAGCTCTCCCAAACCGTCTGTAATCCTTGATACTAAGTTGTACATGCGACCAAGATCTGAAGACGAAGAGAAAAAAGTCTGCTGAGCAAGCAAAATTTATTTTTTTAGCTTGTTAGTTCATGTCTCTGGTCATACTGTTAAGCACGATTCATCAAACTATTTAAACACAAAATTCTTTTTTTTTCCCCCTGTAATCAAACATCTAATGTACTGACTTTTGCCCTGCCTCTAAAGCATCTTCTGATTTTTGACTACATCACTGGGCACCAGCGGGCTGGGAAAAATAATACTAACCAATAATATCACATTTTACCTACCCCTAACACCACCCCCACCTAGCTCAGAGACCCTTCTTGACACTGTGTTTCACTCAGAAATACATCACGTTAGGAAAGTACATTATGATTTCCCATTCATGTTAATTTTAAACAAATCTGATAGTAGTGCTATAGTAGTAGGGCAATACGAAAATATATATCGTTGTCATGATAATGTCACAATACAATAAATACAGTATGCTTTTCTGAACATATTGTGGGTATCGTCAGTACTTGTAGATCACTGACCCACTGCCTGTTTCATTATAAGGAGAGCAAAACTGGATTTAGTGCAATACAGTATACAAAATATTGAATAGATGTCATTGTACACTGTTTTATAATGTTTTTTTTAATGCACTGGTTCTTTTTTGTCTGTTCTAACTGATCAGATGTCAGAAAAAGTAAATACTGTGACACATCGCGTATCGTGAAAATTTGTTGAAGTATCATGATATTAGATTTTTGCCATATCGCCCACCTCTATCTGATCGTTTGTAATGCATACAACATTCATCAAATGCAAGGCTATTCAGTGAACAATAACAATAATAACTGTAATAATACTGTACAAAATATTTTGCGCACAGTACTTCAATACAGTACAATAATTATAATAATAATAATAATAATTACATACATAGAGTTAATTTTAAGATCATAAGAAAAACATTGGAAAGCTAAAATATAGTAGCTTACATTAAAGGGTAAAAGCACAGCATAATTCTAATTTACAGAATATAAAGTAAATACTTTTTTGAGCACATATTAAATACCAGAAGAGAAGCACATTCACCCAAATGATTATGCATGTAATGGTTTTATTTAGTATATTAAAAAAACACATTCAGTGCTTCAGTGTCAGAATCAGTGTAGATCCCTTACCTTCATTCTTATCTGCGTCCAGAAGGTTTTGGAACTCAGTGTGGAAGATCTCTAGGTGCTTCTCGATGAGAACCTGCTCACACTTCCTTGCCAGCTCATCCTGTGTGCTCTCGTGGAGGTAGACCTGCACCCTCCTCTGCTCTTCCAGCAGACGAGCCTCAGCCTGCACCATAAACACAAAGGTTTAGATGCATGGATTGGGAAGCAAGCAAAACAAACAGGGTAGGCAGAAAAATACATAGATGACAAGTTATAATAAATATTTAAAATATTTTAACAAGAACAGATAATGCTTAATATGTGTACATATTTCTGTTACACAAACAAAATAACTGAATATATCAACAAAACCTGTCCTACGAAAACATTAATGCACCTGTCTTGGCAGCCTCACCTTTTTCATGTACTCAGTGACAGGGTTCTGTTGTAGGAACTCTGTACTTTCTCTTGTGTAGAAGCGTTCAGTGTCTGCCAGGAACTGAGTCTCAAAGTACTCCTTATAGACGGACAGAGTCGGCCCTTTAGCAAAGGCGTCATCTTCATTCAGGCCCAGCTCCACTACACAAAGAAACAGAGGCAGAAATCCTCACATTATAGTATTAATCAAAGTGTCTCATACACTCTTTATGTAACTATCAGTGTATAAAAATAAGCAAAGTTGATGGCATAGTGTTTGAATTATATTTCTGTTCAAAAGTTTGAAGTCAATCATTTTTTGTTACACTGCAGATTTATATAATATTTAAATATTAGTAAACAGCAAAAGGGCATTTTTTTTCATTATTTGTTTACAATAATTTGGTGTAGCATTATCTGCAAGACACATGTGGACAGAAAGTTTATTATAACTTAATTCGATTTGTTCTCTGAATCATTCCAAACAAATTTTAATTTGAATTATTTATTATTTTAATTATTTATTTTTATAGCTTCCGACTTACTGTTTGAAAACTAAATACAGCACTAAGAAATTAAATAATTGTATACATTTATCTGCAACCAAACTCGTTTTATATTACTGAAAACATTAATCCCAAAATTTTGAACGAAAGGTTATGAGGACAAACCATAAGACTGAACCACTCCGCTGATGAGTCTAGTGTTGATGGTCTCTCCATTACGCTCCTTCTCAATAAGCTTCAATACTGCATTTGTAACCTGGGATAATCAACAGAAGAGCAGTTTGTGAAAGTGAGTGAAAAATAACAAATAACATTATGTTGTAAATGATGTATTTATGATAATTAATCCCAGTCCCCTCAAAAAACAAAAGAAAAAAATCCTCCTCATGCACAATATGAAGCCCTGACCTGCTTATTCAGAGGCCGAAACAGGCATTCTCTCCACGTCACCAAGGCGAGCTGAACAGAGGAAAAGACCAAATATTACACTCTGGAGAGCATGTGACACTTTGGAACCAATCAGGCCTGGGCTAAACTTTACCGAGTAAATTTCGTATATGCCTTTGCGGCCCTCGTCACATTCACGCCGCACCCAGTGACGGTTGAGGTAGGCACAGATACCATTGAGCACTTTACTGGAGAACCGGTAATCTTCCCACTGCTGTGTGTAAAACTTCAGAACACTCTCATCCATCAGGTCTTCTCCATCCTAACAGGACAAAGGAAAAAAAAATAAAAAAAAGTAAAATAAAATAACAGAGAGGTCAAGCTTATATGAAACAACCAATCTGTATCTGCCACTGAATTGTGTGCACATTAAACTGTAAATAAAATTACCACTTAAAGCCTCAGTCAGGAATTTTAAAACAGAAACTTGGCTTGGCACTGAGTTTGCTAAACCACTGAACAAACCAGCAAAGCACTAAACCTTTCCAGTACATGGCTTAAAGTCCCTGCATCTGCTCCTAAGGGTGTGAAACTGGGGTACAGCACTGAAAAATCTACAAAAATGTAATGTTCAAAACTAGAAATGAACAGACACAGGAATTGTGCGCTGATGCCAATATTCACTGTTTGCTAACACAGATGCATAAACGTTTATAAAAGGTAGAAACTGGGACTAAATCCACCTGGATTAGTATTACAGAGAAATATAACATGTAATTCTGTAGGGCTACAAAAGCAATGTAAAGAGTAAAATGCAGAGTAGTGTAGTGACCTAACTTTCCTCTCTTCTGGAGTACAATAAACATGCTTTTAAATATTGGCCTAAAATATCAGTCAAATATGAACATTTTTCCCGATGCTGATATTTTTTAACCCAAAACAGGGCTGCTGTTTTATCTACACTTTTTCATTTGATGTGTAAAGAATGTAATCTTAACCAAAAATTCTAAGATTTTTATTCAGAAAATACAGGATAGAAAAGTCATACATCAGTTACACGTCAGTGTAGAAGTGGGCAATATGACAAAAATGTAATTTCGTGGTACTTCAAACAATTTTTTACGATACACGATATGGCATAATATATTTTTTCTGACATGTTGACAATTTGGAACAGACAAAGTAATGCCACATTTAAAAATACTGTCAAAAACTATGAGTGCATATCACACACTGCACTGCACTAAATCCAGTTAAACAGGATTAATTATGCTACATTATTTTTAAAAAGCACATTGTGACTATCACGATTACTATAAATATTGTCATATTGCCAAAGAGAGGACACCTTGTGTGTATATTAAATACACTGGTTCTCTGTAATGAAATTGATGAGATGGTTTTACTGTTGCCAAAGAGGACATGCATGCAGTTTAATTAATCTTAAGGCAGATTTAAATAAGCAGCTTTCTTGGTTTTTTGAGCCCGGTACTTGGGGCTTGTCGAGTTCAGTGGTTAAGCAAATACCTGCCGATAAAATCATCATGCATCCCATTCATCCCATGCATCCTATTCAAAACAGTGTATTCAAGTTTAAAACTGTATCACCAATATACATTTCAGGCTCTTCTGACATCTCTCATTTACTTTAGTTATCTTTAGTGGGAACCCTTGTCAATGATCAAGACTAGACATCTAGGTGCATCCTATCTATTTTTTGTGTTTAGCACTTGCACTGTTTTATAAGATCACTATTTTGCACAAGGATATGCTACTTTGTAATTCTTTTGTATTTCTCTAAACCAAAATTTGTCTATGTAGTATATGATTACAGTTTAAAAGACTTTAAATACTCAAATCAAATCTGGGCCTTGGAATCAAACCTAAAAAATTTGCTTCATTCTGATTGTGCTGGTAAATCAGGATTAAAACAGTGATGGCAGGAGTGCATCAGTAGTTGTTTTTGCTCAATTGAGTGCCTGCGAAGTGACTAATGTAATACCAATCAATGACTAGCCATGTCATTAAGCCACTAAAATTGTCACCTAATTGTGCAGAAGAAATAGTGTCCAGGTAGCAAAGACATTGGAACAGTTACTGTTCATGCTAAGATCTGTTTAGTTTTACATTTTAGTTGTGTTAACAAGAAAAAAAAACAAACACAAAGTTCTCCCTAAGTACTGAGCAAAAAGGTGCTTTAACCCACCGTTTGTGTCTTTTGGTTATCTCTGAAGCAGCTTAACAGGGATCTGTAAACAGTGCTACTATACCTTTAGCAAGTTTGTAAGGTAATTCTTCAGAAACTCCTTCAGTCTCTTGTAGAGCTCAAGGCCCACAAACTGGGCTCCTCCTGGAGTGGGTGCCTTCTTGGAAGGCTTGGACGGTGGGAACGCCCGGCCCGCGGGCCTGGTTAGACTGGTGCACACTGGTGCAGTAATTATACACATGACTGGGAGCAGAAAGGTAAGGTTTTAACAACAGTTTAAACTGCAGATAAGGTACAGCTTATTTACACAAATCAAATGAACTGACAAAGATAAACTATTAGATCTTGACTCAAAAGCAAAGAAAACAGACATACTTACAACCTAAGGTTATTTATTTGGATTGTTCAAAAGTGTATACTGCAATAGGTAATTGATAGCTTTTGAACTTTTGCTTATCAACCTATAGGTCCACGAGCTGCGATTTTTTCGAATCCCTAGACTATCAGTCATAAAGCCAGACTGATCATGATTTCTGGATTACTGGTATTTGAGCGGAGAACGCTACTGACTTGGTAAAACTGTTCATTTCAGTAATTTCACTGTTACTGACAGCTGCTAAGAAACTGCTACTAAAACACCTCAATTCACATACAAACAGTGCATATTTTAATATGCTATGTGCTCTATTAAACAGTGTGTGTCCACATTGTTGTCGGCTGAGTTTCTAGCCAATGAGGATTAAGCTCTGTCGTCATCAAGCTTTGTGCAGCTGGTTGGTGAGCAACTGTGCTGCATCCCTCCCACAAGAGTATAACCCAAACATCATCGTGATGCCCCAGTGGTGCTGGCGCAAGGCAGACAAACAAATTTACTAGCATGCATAGTTCCGAGCTAGGCAGTGATCAGTTTACTCTAGGCAGTTGACCTCCCCCTGACTGCGACTGGTCCTAATCACCTTGTTGTTTATTCCTAGACCTTGCCCTGACTGCGACTGGTCCTCATCACTGCACTGTTTGTTCTGAGACCTTCCCCTGACTGTGAAAGGTGCTAACTGCTATGTCTTTTTTTCCTTAGACCTCCTGAAGACCGCAACTAGTCCACCTGACGCATGGGTGCATGCACAGAGCGGGGCTCTAGTAGCTCTGAGTGTAAAAGATACAGAAAGTCCTTTTAAAGTACACAGCATGTTCAGCAGTAGTTTGAGTCTGTTTTGTTCATTTGCAGTATGTTGCCCCCCTTTTTACAGCCAATTTGTTTTTAAGTAAACCACACAAAGACTCTCTCTCTCTCTCCCTGTGATCAATGACTAATCGTTGCAGCACTAATCAGTTTTCCAGATTCAAGCCTTCCCAAAATACACGCATCTGTCTCTAGCTATCAAACTGAGACACACACACGTCCGCTACATGTAAGGATACGTGTAGAGCTCCATGTAGCGTGACTTGGCCATGCTCTGGCGAGTGTAGACCTGCTGAATGCCCGCACGCAGGTCATCCCAGATCTGGTCCAGCCCAATCTGTTTGAGTCCATGAGGGTTCTGGCTTCTGTTTGACGACATCCTCTCCCCTCCAACTCGCTCCCTCCCTGCCCTGCTGATCTGCGTCAGATGCTCCTCCTGGCGTTCTGCTTTTCGCTTCCCTTTTCAGTGAGGCGGCGGACAGCTAGTCCTCCATAGGGCACGGCGGACAGAGGAGACGATGTAGAGGAAAGACAAGGGCTTTGACCCCCTGGCAACCGTCACCGAGTCACTTTCAAGTAACAGTCAGGAAAGAGAACTGTGGAAAAGCACCAGACAAGGTCTAAGGTTATATATGGTCACAGCCTGAAGCTATTTTTAGAATGATATCCATGTATGATCTACAGTATAATTACATCGTGTTAGATGTTACCAAAAACAGAACCTTTTTGAGGTGGATAAGATTACCTGACCCCGCTATAATGATTTATGTTATTTTCAAGAAAAACTAATAATGACTGCATCTAAAATCAACACCAAATTGTGGGGTGTGGTGGATGAAATAGTCACATCACCTGCCACTTTGGAGGATATGTTTTTCATATCAATTTAGCAAAAAGTAACGTCAAATCTCTGTACTGTATGGCTAAAACGGTGTAACCTAACATCAAATCTGTTGGCTCTAAGTGTTGAGCTGCCACCTACTGATTAATACCAGTTGAAATAGATTTAAAAATAAAAAGAATTGTTGTCTCAACAGCCATATCTGATGTGGACGTAATCAAAACGTGTGCACCTAATCAATCATTTCACATGTTACATGATGGCATAATGTTCTCCCCACTAATTTCAGAAGCAGCAGGTATCCATAAAAGTTAACGTCAGACCACAAACAGCAATAATCAAAAGGTGCTTCACTACAGCTATAGCTGACAGCACTATATGGCTCAATACAGTAAAATGTATTTGACTTTTTCTCACTCCACTGCACAGACAGGGGGATTAAAAAGACCCAGCATTAGAGAGACAGGTGATGCAGCATGTTACACGTGATGGGCAACAGTATCTTGTCATATTAATCGGAAAGGAGATGGATGGGTGTATATGTAAGCCCAGAAGTCCTTGGAAGTCCTGGGCTGCTTTCTAACTGCAGTGTCACAATCATGGCCACCTTGACTTGGCTTCCCTGTGGCATGAAACCCAAATCTCTCATGCAACACAGCAAGGCGTGTGCGAAAAGGCTGGAAAAGTGACATCAGTGGATCACAGATTAAATAAGTGAAAATCATAAAATAAAAAAAATTTAAAAAAAAGTACAAGAGAGAAAGAAAAGAAGCTGCAGTGTCACCCCCTCCTACTCCTCCAGGATAATCGCTGCTTGTAAGGAAGCTACACTATTCATTATATCCTGGGGTTCCCTCCTTGTAACCATAGCAACAGCTCCAAGAGCACGAGCACGGAACTGAAAATAGGCGGTGAAGCGCTTCGAGCCAGAGACGCTGCTGTAAACCAAGCAAGCTTGCGACATCCTAACATCAGATCATGACTTCTCAAACTTGAAGAGACTGCATGGGCAATTAGTCCGATGATGCACTTTAGTCAACAAAGCGTAGCCTAATAGGGAGTCACTTAGAGAAGCAAAGCTTAACACTACACAAAATGCATCTTGATTCACTGTTTTCCTTTAGAAAATGAAGCCTAGGGTTTGGTTACACAAGCTTTATGCAGCAATCAGCCTAATTTGATGACTTGGCCTGAGGTGTATCACATTGCCCCTGGTTTGCTCGTGCACAGTTTGATCAATATAATGAGAGATCAGTAGTGCAAGATTCAAAAGCCAGAGGAAAATAAATTCATTTGAAACAGAAGCTTCTCTCACACAATTAGACAGCCCTAACCCAATAACTTCTGCAAATATTTTTTTGATTTATATTTGTTTTTTTTTAATAGCAGCCACATTAATTACAACAACCACAGATCAAGGACCTTTATTTAGGTAACGGGGTGCAACTCAGGACCAAAGGTCAAAGGAGTTCAATCCAATCTCAGGCAAACTGGACGAACCTATTAGTGTTTGTGTTTAATACTACTACGACTAATAATAATAATAATAATAATAATAATAATAATACCACATTCCTGCAAATAAGTAAACCCAAACGTATCAATATAGCCCTTCTAGTTGGTTAACTCCATAGTGATCTCCATAGAAAAGCACCATCAATAGAATGGGACTCTCTGGAACAACCGTACATTAGCCTGTCACCATGTCCAATGCTAAGCGTGAGCTACAGCACATAACCCCCTGCCCCCCGGCCCCCCACAGCATTGGGCTGTGGAGCAATGGACCTGCGTTCTCTGAAGTGATAAAACACCACCCAATACCTCTGGGATGAACTGAAGCGACCCAGAACTAATCATCCAACATCAGTACCTGACCTCACTAATGCTCCTGTGGCTGAATACAATCAAATCCACCTCACAGCAATGTTCCAACATCTGGTGTAAAGCCTTCCCAGAAGAGTAGAGGGCTATTACTGTGGGAGGGGGGGACAAGCACTCAAGTAAAACCCTAGATTTCAGAAGAAACTTTGGACGAGCAGGTGTCTACAAACTTTTGGACATATAGTGTAAACACAACTGCAGAGTGCAAAGGGACAGCAGCGGCTAACATAAGCTAGTGTAACAGAACAGCACTGGCCATAAACTACTTTGCTGACTCAAGTATGGCCTGTATGTGAAATTCCTATTGTAGGCTTTTCCCTAATAAGGCAAAAGAAGCCTGCCAAACCGGCCCAGTTAGGGTTTATCAATGACCAAAGATTACTGCCCGTCAACTGCCATTAACATGACCATATAAAAATTGAATATTAACCTTTCAAGCCTGGGTGACCTCTGTTAATGAACAGACATGATGTCGTACTACGGTAGCCAGCTATTTCATTAAAAATAGTGGCAGCATTTACTTCAACTGCATTATAACGCCATAGTGTGTGGCTAGCTGGCTAATGACACAGCTAACCTAGCAGTCGCTTGTGGGCCCTTTTTGGCGCAAGCTAGCAACGTTTAGCCGATTAATAAATACAATTCGGATTAGGCTGCGAGCTGTGAGGTTTGTTCACGGAGCAAAACACAGCTGCTGGGTCTTTTTATGAACCTAGCTAAATGTTGAGACTCTATTTTAACTCTGCTAAACGTTAGCCAGCTAGCTAGCTGGCTTTATATTTGCGTTAGCCGCTAATGCTAACGACTTTAACGTGAAACAGTAAGGCCTCGTATGGGGAGCTAAATGCTAGCTGATGTGATTATTCCATTTGAGACTTTACTGTATACATTTTCAACTAATAAAAAAAGTATACAAGTTTTAACTTCAGCTTTAGGCACAGATTATCCCCACTTTTCCTTAATACTCACTAGACTCTGAAGTAACAATAACATTAAATCTTAATAAGATGTGAAGTATGAGTTGATACTACCACTACTGAATATCAGACGTCTTAAGTTTCTCTCCGTGGTTTAATAGTTTCAAATCTGGTTGTTTTTGCCCACTAAAAAGTCCTCATATATAGTGGAGCCACGATCTCCTTAAACATGATCCCATCAAAGAGCTGTTTGGGTTGCATACTGAAGGACAGAAATTGGTTTATTCATTCAAAGAAAGTGAGAAGGAAAAACTGAAGTGGCTTTGCAGACTAATTCAGTTCATTTAAGTTCACTGCTTTATAAAAGTGAATGCTTTAGCTACGTGTAACAGCTCAAGATTGTTCTTCTACGTGTTTAATACAAATATCAAGCTATCTTTTGTGTTTGAGTGCTTACAAAAAATCTGCAAGTTAGTAATACTGCATTTCTACAGTGCTCTAACTATACAACTTTTATAATAATACCAACCTTTTCACCTCCTATGCTATACAGTATTCCTGGTGTATTGTGTTATAACTAGTAAGCTATAATATTGTGTTCTTATTTACATTAAGATTCTTACAGAAATCCTATATTAATTCCTTTAGCATCACGACTACAGTTCTTTCTCATAATATGTGTTATCCATGGCACACTTATGCACATAAATATCAACGTACATACAAACCAAAAACAAGTAAACAAACAAAGGTGCAGATTAGTATAAAGTAAAAATAGAACAAACAATTTAGTTCAACTATAAATCTATAAATGGCTCTGAGCAGGTAACTAAGTAAACATTTAAGCTGAATTAGTCAGGTTCTTCCATTAACTTAATGCTTCCACACTTTTATGAAGCATCTCTAACTGCACCTGTATGTGTAAAGGTAGCATTAAAGTATGATTAACACTGTGAACTATAATGAATATTACTGTAGCTGAGCAGAGCTAAAGCTGCTAAGTTGGCGCTCTTACCACCACCACCATCCTCTAACAGCGAGCCGAATCTGCAGCTCCCAGATAAACACAAATAAATAAAACACGAGCTTAAATCCACAGCCTTCTGAGAATACTCCGAAACCGTGATTCACAATAACGTCCCCGTCTTGAAAACAGACTCAAAGTATTCCCAGTTTTCACGAACAAAGCAGCAGCACTTCAGACCGAGAGGAGAAAATAAAAAATAAAACACTTCGTCAGATTTGTGCTCGCGGAAACGCGTCCCTAAGAAACATGGAGCTCGGCACACGACGTTCCGCTTCTGTGGTCGCTCACCCGTGAAGCGATGATCATGAAGAAAATAATAATATTGTAAAATAATGTCCAAAAATATATTATTTTACAGTAATAAGATGTAGCTGAAAATGAAACACATTCAAGTAAAGCAGATACAAAAAACACGCATACTACACTTTTACAGAAGAGAAATACGTGATGAATAACAGACAATATTTTAAAAGACAATAATCCACAAATGACGGATAAAAGCACAATGTGCAACAGAGAACACTTGACTAAGGATGCAGAACTAGGCTATAATAATAAAAATAATAACAATAATAATAATAATAATAATAATAATAATGATAATAATAATAATAATTATTATTATTATTATTTGACACATTATATTAACATTATGATAAAAATAAGTCCTGCCCTCCTCCTGCCCACTTTACTCTGATAGGTGATATGATGCTAGTTTCCATCACAGACCTCTGAAGTCCTGTAGTCATTTTGTAGTCTGCATCATGCCCATATTAGGAAATCTGTGTCTAAGCAGTTTTTCTCTATGGGAGAAATGAATTGCAGCTATCAGATACTATAGTACACTAAAATGTCCCAACATCATTAAATCTTATTTACATTTTCCCCTGAATATCACCGGATCCTATGAATGAACTCAGGCCAGTTCATTGTTTGAGAACACCAGCATCTTCTTTATTTTGTTTGTTTCTCTTTTTTTGCCTACTTACTTTTCTCATTAAAGGCTTCTTGACAGCTACCTATCCTTTCACACCCAAAGCGTTGAGATGTCTTCTCGCAGTGGAAGGATGGACAGAAACACTTGTGGATTGTTTCAGATCTGAAGTAAGAGTGGAGCTTGATTTTCTCCTCTGTCTCACAGAGGAAAGCTTTAGATACTGTTTATCTGATGGGGACATACTCTTAAAAAAGAGTGTTCAGGGGCTCTTTAATAAAGAAAACGGTTCTATATAGAACCTAAAACGCTCAAAGAACCCTGTGCATAACTAAAGGGTTCTTGCATTATGAAATGGTTCTTTAGATTGATAGACAATGTGCATAAATGTGCTATAGATGGTTCTATATAGAACCTTTTTGAAAAGTGTTCTATATAGCACCCATAACGGTTCTTCTACTATTACAAGCTTGAAATGTAACAATAGAAGAACCCTTTTTGGTGCTATGCAGAACCATTTCTAAAAAGGTTCTTTATAGAACCATCTATAGCATCAAACTGAAGATCCCTTTCATGATGCAAAGAGCCCTGCAGTCATGCAAAAGGTTTTTTGAATGTTTATGGCTTTATATAAAACCATTTTCTTTACTAAGGAACCCTTGAAGAACCTTCTTTTTTAAGAAGGTAGTATTGGTGGTCTACCAGGTTTTGCACAGTTGTTGGGAGCCCTGTTTTCTCTAAATCTTTTAACCGTTTTTTTTTTTCTCTTATTTTCCTTTGACTTTCCCTTTCTTTATGCAAGTGGATTACTTTACATCATATTCTCCTCAGAAATATCTCCAGAAAAAGAGGCTGTTTTGACTGGAAATTCAAATGAAAAGTGGTCTCAGTACTGCATGTACAGCTGCTACACTGCTTTACTGTTGTTCACACATTTCACTTATGAGCTTTAGCTTTTTATTTTACACCAAAAGGACCCCAGAAAGAAAAGAATAGAGTCTAACAATCCTCACTTCCAGTGCTCTTCCACTGCGGTTCTATAAGGACTAAGTAGTGGAGGAGTGTTTTTTGGCCATGTACTTTTTGTAACTACATTAACAACGCTTGTGGGTTTAGGTTATATTTAGCAATGTTTTTGAATATGTTTCAATATATTCCAAATATTCTGGTCCCATTTTCTCCACTGAATTCTAGACAATATTTTATAAATAGCAATATCTGACAACTACAAATCCATGTACAGTAGAACTTGCTATGCATATTGTGTACACTAGCAGCTGGCGTGTAATTTAAGCCTTAAATGATGGACACTGGTGAGGCCATATCAGCTTTCAATGTCCTTGTCCACTGGGTTACCAAAGCAGAAACAATCCTATAATTTATTGGTATTTGCAATGCTTTCATTACTGAACTCTCAATATTCTTACAACCCTTAACAAGTGACTTTGTATAATAAAGTAACACATTACTGGATGTGAAAAAAGAAAAAAGAAAGAAACAAACAAACTTTGTATTGAATCAAGCCAGTAATTCATTATGATAATGACATAATCTGATTAAGATTCGGAATTAGCCACATTTGTATCCAGAAGGCCATGTTCCTTAAAATGAAAAACATACATTGACAGTAATGCTGCTTGGAAGTACCTGAAAGGAGCAAGAATAAAGAATTTTCCATTAAAATGTGCTCATCCTTTTAAAAATTAAAATGACCAAAGATAACGTGTTCGAATACTACATGTTGACAAGAAATTTGACGATGCATCCACAAGCTGCGTGAGAAACATAACGATCTGCCAGAAATCTTGTGAAAGGAAGCCTAGTGGCCAATTGACCTATCCATGCCCCGCCCACAAATGTGTTGTTTTGTAATAACTGTTGCTAGATTGGACAAGCTTTACAGACTGCTAGCAGAGATCCTTTACAACTTAATGCTAAAAAAGTTGAAAGTTTTTGTCAGAAAACCTCAATTTACAGTGTTATTCATTTGAAATGATATTTATTTTGTATTTGTGTGAAGCATCACACTGTCGGGGTAGATCTGGTGTAGTGTTTTGTTGTGTAATCAAGCCAATCTTAGCATGGCTGGAACTTTGTTAAAGCTTCCATGACGTTCTATTTTAGTAGTGGAGCATTTTAAAATGGAAACTCACTGAGTGTTTACATGCACTTAATAATCCAATCATAATTGGATTTCTGCAGTTACCTGATTATTCAAATGGTCATGAAATCTGATTGAGAAATCCAATAAAGAGAGCTGGATTTTAGCTCAGTAATCGTATTTCTCAGTGCATGTAAACTCTTACTCAGATTTCTTTCAGATTTCTTTGTCAGAGCATGTGCGGAACAGACTGTTGTACCAGAAATAAGCAAGCAGCACTGCTGCGAGACGCAGCAAAACACTTTCGGAGCGACGCTGAAACCAACTGCTTTCACGACAAAATTAAGGATTTAAATATTCTTCATTTTATAGATGATGTATGTCCATATTTTCAGGTAGAGTGGTGCAATGCTTTTTAAATAAAGCCGCAGCATGAAGTTTGAGTTTTACTTTACATTTACATCACGTCTTCTTCTGTGAGTTTATTGGCTGGTTGCAAAGCAGAAATCCGATTACTGCCCGACTCATATAAACCCAGAGTTTTCCCATGATCTGATTACTCAAGTGCATGTAAACGTGTTGATCAGATTACTGACAAAATCTGATTTTCTGCAGTTATCGGATTAAGTGCATGTAAACACACTCACTGTTATGCAGCAATTTTAAACTCTAACCTAAATGAATTGTGTTGAATTTGATTCAATGTTCTGTAAAGTTTGTCCCACTTAGCAACAGTTGCTATGAAAAAAATGCATTTGTGGGCAGACCACTGGTAGGGAAGTTACAGGCCAGTTACCAGCAGTGAAGCAGAAATAAGAAACTGACAGTGAAAAGACCAAAATGCCTGTTATTGATCCTCTAAAACATACTGATGTTTGAACTGCATAAAAATCCCACATGTGCTCATATGCCTTGCAATGCACAACTTCATAATGCAAAAGTATTTGTAATGTTTTATCGTGAGTGTTTACACCTGTACGACATCTGAGATTACAGTCAGTAAGATGAAGAAACTTCTATGTTTGTTTAACAGAGATAAGGCAATGTAAACACATGGAAATGAGAATGCATAAAAATGCAGCAAAGTTCAGAATTCAAACATAACAGACATACTTCAGCATTGAAAAAGGACTTTGCCACAGCAGAAAGACACATGGCGAAGGCGATACTTTAATGGGTGGTAAGTACTTTTGTTAAGTAGTTAATGAGCGATTCCCAAACTAGAAGTACATTCAACTGCAAAAGCAAATAAGAAATATGAGTTTATTACTTACAAAGCTGTGCTGCTGTCTGTTTGTATTCCAGATTAAAATATCATAAATGTGACAATTATATTAATGGTTGACCAAGAGACAAATAACTAAATCCTTCAGACTCAGTAAAAGAAATGGACCAAATTGCCCTCTTGTGTTAAAAAATTGGTCTGAATAGCAAACTTTATGATAACACTTTATAATGACAGAACTCTATAAACAGCAACTAAATAATTATCTAATAGCTTGTTAATGTTAGTAAATATTACTACTACTGCTAATAATATAATAATAATAATAATAGTTTACTTGTACATTAATAAGTGCTACCAAAAAATTGCAATAAATTACTAACCATTTACTTAGTGATATACAAATAATTAGAGCATTGTAAATGTTTTTTATGAATATATATATATATATATATATATATGTAAGTGTAATCAGTAATATTGATGCATTTTTAAAAAAATACATTATAAAAAACTTTATAAATACATTACAAAGTCGCAACCTTATAACAGGGGTCCAATTAATATTTGTTATTATTAAAATGTATATAATTGCTGTCCAAAAAAAAAATAATCTCTAAAATCTCCAAAATAGTTACTTTACAGAAGAGCGCAGAAGTTAATGTAGAGAGACTGTATTCCAAGTGATTTTGGAGCATTCTGATTGGTCCATTCATCATGAAATGTTTACACAATGTAAATGACAGCGGCTGTGTTCAAATGATGTAGAAAAGTTAAAATTGAAAAAATGGAGATACATGTTCTTTGGACAGCGACAATATATTAACCACTTAACAATGATTACCACAATATTAAAATTAAAACAGGACACAATTACTGTGTAGTTATTCATAATTAGTAAAATGATATGCTCATATGAGATATGAGTATCAAATCATTGTTAAACTATAATTAAATGATCAGGTTTCTACCACTGTAAATAATGACTGGTTATTTGTATGTCACTAAGTAAAGTGTTAATAATTTAAATAGCATTTATTAATGCAAAACTATTATACAATTATTAACAGTCATTAACAAGCTATGAGATCTTGAATAAGTTGCTGTTTATTGTTTATTGATTTTAAAATTGTGTTTGAAATGTCACAATTATAATTATCAATTAAGCTTCAAAAAGGGCCATAAAGGAGGCAAAATGTAAGCATATGCAAGAATAGTTGGTGATGTATACAGCTACAGAATCCAGATTACTATAAGAACGTAAACTACCACATAAGACAAAAAGTGCTGCTTTAACACTGACGCAACATTGAGGAATGTCATTCTTTTTCCATGCTTCTATATTTGTGTGACTGTTTTAAAGATGTCGGCAATAAAAATGCATTTAAATACAATCAAATGTCTTCATCTGTAACTTAAATAAATATACATTTTGCTATTGGGGTTGCTGATAATTTGTCTGGCAGTCCAACACTGATAATTGACATTTGTAGTACAATCAAACATGATAAAAATGCACCAATTGCTTTAGTATTTTAGTCCATGGAATGCAGAAAATATGCCTCCCTATATGTGCATGGGATGGATTCAGATTTGATAGAAGTCCTTGCGTTACACTCACTCATTCACATAAAACGTAATTACATGACAGACTTGCCAGCCAATGCACGTCCCGACAGGCGTTTGAGTCCATTTTTCACACTCGAGTCCATTTTATTCAAAATTCTTTGTGGTAATCTTAAGCCTTGTGGTTCCACTGGATGGCGCTCTCTGCACATCCCCTGTATATCCTGAAAGACGTGACTAAATAAACCACTCCTTCTTGCTTTCGTCGATAGTCTCTGTGAAGGCAGGGTCGTTTACAATGATGGCAGCGTCGGCGCAGTCTGCTGACTCCGCCCCCTTTGCCTCATTGGTGTGGTAGGAACCCTTGTGACGGAACATGTGGCGCACCAGGAACACCAGCGTGCAGAGGATGGTGAAGATCACCACGGCGATGATGCCTGAATAACCAAAAGAAACCGATCCACAAGGCATTAACAATAACAAAATGAATAATAATAACAATAATAATGATAACAGTGATAATGACTGATCATAATATACATATTACAAAATGCTATACAGGCAAAACGAATAGTTTTATCTCATTAATGTTTTCAGATGTAAATCTCTGACCTCACAACAATTGGATTCAATCTCCAAATTCACCATTTGATAGGTTATTATGGTACAATTCAGAATAATTTTTAAGAATACACCAAATATACAAATGTGACTAGTGGAGATATTAACACAGTAGCAGAATATGGACAAAAAACAAACACACCAAGCTTAAGTTAATTTCTAAGTGAAAATAATGAAAATATTTTTATAATCAATTATAACATTCTAACATTCTAAAACTGATGCAGTTGAATCATCATCTTTCAGACTCTTTTACACCTCTATTAATATATTAGTAGGACAAGAATCTTAAAAGCGGTGCAAAAATATCATTCTTGATATTTTGTAAAGTTTATTTTATTTTAGAAATGAATTACCAATGTGTGAATTTTTTCTTACCTCCAATTATCGCAGAGTCCCGGTTTACTCCATCCCGATTTACCCGCTCTTCATTAAACGGGAACTGGATTCCGGCTAAAAGGAAAATAATGACAAAAGTAAATCAGTTTAAAGTGGCCAGGATTCCTTTTACTCATATGAAATCTGAGAGCCAACACTAAAAAAAACAGTGATTTCTATTACTTATGTTGTTATTTCATTATTAAAATAAGTCACTGCTCACAAATAGTAGTTATGCATTTTTTTAGGTTTGAGACAATTTTACTCAGATACTGACTGATGAACCCAGATGCCTAGTGTTGATTATTGACAGTGGTTTCCACAAGAGAAATTGTGTTATGTTTATGGTTTAGAGAATGGTGGTGAGTAACGTTTGTTACTCGTTAATAGGGCAGCTCTTTAGAGGGCAGCAGTGAGTAATGTTTGTTTATTTGATGTTTTTTAATAACAGCTTTAGAGGGCGGCAGTCAGTAATGTTTGTTTATGTGGTCATTTGTCCAAGACATGTTTGGCATCCAAATTTTGCTTCTTTAGTTTAGCACTGGAGCCATGAGGCTAACACTAGAAGTCAATAGTCACCAAAATCTTTTCTGTGAATACATTGTGAAAAACTCATTTAAACTCACTTAACTCACTTAAACTTGCTCTTCATCACGTTTGCACAGAGATATCAGTGTGGTTCAGAGTACAGTATGACTTACTGTGAGCTGTGAGTAAAAGTGAACAAAATTTCACTGTGGAGCTAAACACTGTAAGCAGCCACTTACTGTGACTTAAACTCGCTTAACTCACCTAAACTCGCTGTTCATTAAGGTTGCTGATGAGTCTTTGTGACCTTAGGGTCTCTTGACCTAGAGGAGGTTTGAGTGAGCTGAGAGACATTTTGGGGATGCATTCACAGAGAAAATCTGGGTGACTATTGACTTGTAGTGTCTGTTAGCTACATTAGCCTCATAGCTAATTTAGTGCTAAACTAAAGAAGCAAAATTTGGACACCAAACATGTCTTGGCTAAAAGACTACATCTGTAGTACTTGGAAAACTGTAAGAAACAGATATTTTGCCAAACCATTGCTTTAATAATTGCATATTGCAAAAAGTGTCAGTTAAATTGTTAATCTCAATTATTTATAGGGCAGTTAATCATCAGCTAACATTTCATGATCGTGACAGGCCTAGAAATGGTTACACCCTTCTTAATAATGCAGGGACTATATTTTTAATTTTGGCACAGTAGGTAGGTGGAGTTTGAGGTTATATTTATGACTATAGAAAGTGTTTTCTGTCAGCAGGAGTGAAGAGGCCGAGGCTGGCATGAGAGCAGATCAGTGATAAACCGTCTGCTCCTTTCAGCTGCCATCTCAGCACGGCTCACACCCTGCGTGACTGCAACTCAGGAAAACTGAGTGCACCCACTCACACCAATACACACTATCACACTCACACAGGATTTTGTTTTTTCGCCAGTGCTACACTAATCCTCTCTACAGGGCACTGATCTGATCACAGATGTCTTTCACTGAGGGCATCATAAGAATATCTCTTTATTTCAAAGGAGCAGGAAGATGTTCTGCAATCTTCTACATCCCACATCTATAGTTACCTTATACTGTGAATAAAAATACATGATTCAATACATGATTCAAAGGCCATAATAATAGTCACAAACAGAGAAAACAGAGTCGGCATTCCCCAGGACCTCTAGCTGGAAACTCTAGCAGTAAATTTGGCAGTCATGCAACTTGGTAGTTGGGATAAGGAAGCGGACGCTGCCAAAAACAGCAACTGCAAATCAGCACATAAACTGATTAGACACAGAAGTCATTTTCAGAACTTTGCCTGGATATTTCAAAATTACTTTTATGGTAGGGAATCACACATTAAAGGGGGATTTCAAAATGCCTGAATAAATCAACTGTTATGATATAAATGAAGGCCTAGTCCCATTTCTTATTTTTGCCCCTTATCCCTTGTTTTCAAGCGTCATCTTCTCCCTTGGATAAGTGTTAGTAGTTGAAATCTTCCCCTATGAAATGGGACGGCCCTCAAATAAAAAAGAACATTTCTTAACATTAACAGGCTACTAGTGGTGCTCTGTAGGCAACCCTGCCAGTCTGCAGTGACAGCATCCTTGCTGCTGGTCTTCGGTTAAATTTAGAGAATCATATGCCTTCAAAGAGGGGGAAGCGACAATTGTTTATTATTGCCCACCCCTAATTCTTTGGTGATAACAAGCTGACGTCAGCTATTCGCCAGCATCTTGTTTGAATTTTCTTGTTCTACCTTAAATGGTGCAGCATTTCTGATGTCTGAGGCCATTTAAGGTGGAACGGGAAATTTAGCTAGCTAGCTACCGAGAGCATACTGCTAGTGATTTTTTTTACTGGTTATGAAGAAAAGGATTGCAGTAAATTGAAACGACATTAAACTAAGATAATACAATGGTTATTGTTATTTTTTAACAGGGAAAATACTGTAGGTTTCCTCTGAAAGACCTCCGTTTGGAGGGCCATGTAGCTCTTACACTTGGCCCTACCCCTCTATCTCAACAAAAATCGGGACACCCTACCCCTAGACGTGAACATGCAAAAATGGAGGGGTAAGGGCTAAGTGGTAGAGGCAAGCGGGTGAAATGGGATTGGGCCAAAGTCAGTCAGCATGTTTTAATGTGAAATGCTCCATTATACAGAAATTTTCGAGTCAGAATTGTTCACAGTGGTGGTGATAGAAACCAGATGTCTGACGTGTTTAATACCACTTTAAGCCACATCACAGAAAGCTTACATGAAAACGATATGAATACACTACCTGATGCCTGAAACACTGTTTTATGATAGTTTTGAGAAGGGTTTGGCCTTCCATTCATCAAAGAGAGGTACATCCAGGGTGTTCTAAGGCAAAAGAGTCCTTAAAGGAAAGTTTTTTTGAGACAAATTTGTGGAATCCCCCTTCACATTTATACCCTCTAACAATAGCTAGCATGTTGGTTGTCTTTCTATAACATTGTATTTGGAGGCTGCTCTGCTTTACTGCAGTTCACACACACAGAGACCTAAAGGGACATCACACATTACACAGCAGATCACTGGGGACATGCGGGAGATTTACACAGTGATTGATTTCCTCGCTGTCCCTGCCCTGCTTTCCCGAAAGGCTACATGGGCTGTGTTGTGTGAACCACAGCAATGACAGAAAAAAGCACAGCCTACACAGCTGTTCTATCAAAACAGAGCAGAAATGGTGAGAATGGGGGGAGGTAGAGGGAGAGGAGGGGAGGCTACAGATCTTTTGTCTCAGAGGAGCACATGGCCATGCACGGTCAAAGAGCTGGATCAATAAAGCAGCCTTTCTAATGCCCATGCAGCAACATTACCCTCCAGGGGAAACCAATGTAGTAAGCCAGTGACAGCTCACTGCTGGCAGAGCAAAGAACCTTTATGTACCTAATTGCAGAAACGAATTGTCGCTGACGTAACAAAACCTTTTATCTCAGAATTTTTAACCTTATAAGAAGAAGAAAAAATGTTACTTGAATACATGGTACCTTGTATATACGTTAATGTGGCAAGATCTTATTCCATTCATTTTTGGATTACTTCTATCAACCTAATCAGTAATTTTCTTACAATGTAATGGGCAGATGGTGCTTTTAAATATCTCATTAAAAATGCAGAAACCTCTGCTTAAATGGCAACATGATGGTTCTAAAGCATCTTATTTTGGCCAAATTTTAGGTCAACATTCTATTTATCTTTCATGTATAACTCAATTACTACAATGCAATGTGACAACAAGCTTTCTTAAGATCGTTCATTTTTATGGCCAATTCCATTATCTTTACAGCCGCCTGTCTTTACTGTCTCTTTTTTTTGGGTGAATTTTATTTGTTGTTTCTTTTGAAGGATCAGATATCAAAGAGAGTAACATCACTTATTCGCTGTATACCTGTATACCTAGCTTGCAGGCTAAATGGACACACTCATATGAAGCACACAGTCTGGTGGTTACTGGGTAAACACATACAGATATGTTCATAAAGCATTCAAATGCAGCTCAAAGTGCCTCACCTGATTCCGGCTGCCAGGGGTCAAAGGCTGCGGACATGGGTGGGATGGTGAGTGGTAAGGCGCCGCAGTTGGACTCTACTAGGACCCCCTGAATAGAGGCGGTAGATGGTATAGCCGGTCTTAGTGCAGCTTTCAGTGGGGCGATGCGGTTGAACTGCACCCTGGAAAGGCAGCCCACGAAGCCTGGGGAGTTATACCGCTCTATCAGCACCGGATCTATCTGACCCGTTTCTGAAAGACAAGAGAAGATTACTTTATAAGCTAACCTAATAGCAGTTATTGTAGCTAGTGCATAAAAACTCTGAGTCAACACTTTCAAACTACTCTGTAGCTCTGTAATGACGCTAGCAGTGAGTTAGTGCTCATTAATACTGACAGTTCAAGGAAACTGAAGACACAGACAAATCAAACCGAAGTGGAGCATAATTGAGTGTTCTTGCTTACAAGTAAACAATGCACCCCTGCTTTGTTTGCTTATAAGCAAGGGTTTATGATTGCACTTGGGTAAAGCTTTAAATATGTGTAAATATATACCTAAACATTGCAGGTGTTTCAGTGATCCTTCTATTAGTGTTTGATAGCATTATTACAAGAGCAGCGTTCATTACAGGTGCATTAAATGACCCTTCTGTTTTTTTGCATATAGTCATGTTTATATGTCCACTTATTTTTTTTAATTTTATGTATCTTCCAAGACTGTAAGTACTTTTATATTATACACACTGCTAGCGAGGAACAAGTGAACTGCCCTTTGGGCATCAAGTTTATCTTAAAGTTTTGTGCAAAAAATTGAAAAAAGTTAACACATGTTCAGAACATCTATGTGACGAAATGGAACAAGCTTAAATACACTGAACATCTCGTATGACAAGCCATATTGTGGAAACCTTGTTCATCAGAAATAATGGCAGTTTCAGGGCTTTGATAAATGTGCAGGAATCAAAGTGATTTCGAAACATTCAAAGCTAGAGATCACCACACTTTTTCTTTTCTGATACCAATATTGAAACCTTGAGTACTGGCAGATTCTGATCCCAATCTGACACGATAATTTTTCTTAAAAACTAATACGTTTTTTTTAAAAAAGCTGTTTTTAATTGATGCACTTAAGTTAAGATGAGCATATAAAAGTAGTCATTCTCCTGTTCTTTAACATTATTAACGAAAACTGAAATATCTGGCACTGTGATACAGTAATGTTGAATTTTATCAACAAAGCCAAGAACCTGGAGAGAATGAGAGAAATAGGGAGAGGGAAACACTGTGAGAGAGAAAGCGAGAGAGGAAAAAGCAATTATTTTCTTCAAAGCACAAGGACAAACAGGTGATGATAAAGAGCGATACGGAGGAGAGAGGGACCTTTCAGAAAGGAAAGGAGAGAGCTCTGCAATCTCTGAAACCAAACGAATAAAGACCCTGTGACATCGAACATGCATCTGTATCTTTGTCCTCTGACCATGTCCATTCTACTGCAAGTCCATCTCCTAGCCACTGCAAACAAAGACGAAGTGCCAAAATACAACTGCAGACAGCAAGTTGTCTAGAATACAAATGACATACACAGGATCCGACAGGTGTAACAATACATAAATTACATGATACAGAATGTATTGTTGTTTTGGCACCATATATTTTAATATATCAAAAATGTCAACAAAACAGGACCTGGCAGTGAAAGCATAGTTATAACAAACAAGGAATTATCAGAGGACAAATACATTTGAATACACAGAAAATGTAAATGGTGTCACTATTCCACAATAGAACAGTGGAAACCATTCCAATTTATGTAAATATGTTTTGCAGCATAAAATCTAACTGTATGTGATTGGAATTCCTCTGTATCCGCAGATTATCAGACAGATATTTAGATTTGACTGATATTTCAAACTGATATTTAAAGGCGTATAGACGTATACAAAAGTATACAAAAAAACACCTCGTCAAACAACAGGTTTTGTTGATTTTCTAAGTGAAAATAAGCTAACACATCCTCTACAGAGAACTCACTTTTATATATATTTAACATATTGGAAAGAAAATAAAACATACAAAAATATGTGCTATAACTTTTGCACAGACCATTTTATTTTTTATTATTTTTTTGTTTTTAAATTCAGCAAATAAACAGTAATTATCTATTTAAATGTGTGGAGGTGTGTTCTCTGTAGAGGATGTGTGAACTTATTTTCACCTAGAAAATCAACAAAACATGTAATGAGACCAGAGGCGCACAAACTTTTGCATAAGACTGTATTTCCTGTACTCCTGAAGAGCAGAGTGTTTGGGTAACACTAGGTTATGGTGCAAAAATGTCTGCTTTTTTCAGTGCATGGTATTTTAACTCTATTTCTCTGTAATGCTAATTCAGGATTTTGTTCCAGTTTCTGCATTTTATAAATGTTTATGTATCAAAATCAGCAGATTTACACATGGGAAACAACAGATATCAATTATTAGCATCGGCCCACAGTTCCCACATTAACATATCCCTAATTTGATCCAGTGCATGTACTGCATCACAACTCCTATATTAATAAAAATTCCTATTAATAAATGTATCTCCACAGCAACTGTGGTCAAGGACCTCAATCATAAGTAGAACAATCGCAATTAAAACTCTAATTACAAAACAGACAAGAGAGCCCACTTCCTTTCAGTGCTAACAGGTTTATATTCTAGACAATAACTGTAGACTCAGTGTTACCTTTGTGATGCAGATGTAGTCTCTGAATGCAGCAGTGTTGTCTCCCAGTAACAGAGCCACTCTGAACTTAGCACCAGTCTTCGTCTATCTATCTGTACATCTAGCTTTTTCTATCCTTCTACGTTTCCTGCTTTTCTGTCACTTTATGACTGCTTTATCATCTACTTGGCTATTTTTAGCTAACATAACAATAGCTAGCACTTCTTCAAAGTTCGCTATCTGACTTCTGATATCTTGGCTGCTGCCTGACGCCTGTACTGTACAGCTCTGAGAGCAGCTCAGGGCGTTTCACTCTGTTTCTGCTTTGCCAGCAGCTGTAAAACCCGGAAACTGGAGTCGGATCAGGAGCTCTGCTCTCAGCCTCTGAGGATGATGTCAGTGCTCAGGGAGCTAATTCATTTACTGAGAGCAGCAGGTGGAAAACTAGGAGAGCGGAGTAGAACTGGGAGTTCTCCAAGACTGTAATCATTTATGAAACCAGAACCTTCCGGAAAACTTATTTGGGATGTACTTGGCACTAAAGCAGATATTTTTCAAAATATTAGGGCTGCAAAACATGGATATTTTGACATTTATTCATGGGAATTAACTAAAAGAGAGCTAAAAGAGCTAATATAACCACTGGTGAAAAAAAAGTGGTGCTTTGCCTAAGCCTGCACCTAATTCTGAGCAACAGAAAGTAATAAGCAATGGCTACAAATAAGTGATATAATTTTAAAATAATAAAATACAGTGAGATAATTCACTAACCATTCTGCTGCTTCAGAATAGACAGCAGCATGTTTTCTTTTTCAGTTGTCGAAAGTAACATTGAGCTTCTGTGGAAAGCTGGGCCAGACTTACAAATGTTTACTTTATGTACACTACTTTATCCTTTGTTTGAGGAAAAAGCTCACAGATTTTATTTCTTTTTTTAACTTTCAGACATAACTGTTCTTTTTCTCTGCTCACATAGAAACAACACTACAAGAGAACTGCTGCCCTGGAAAGTCTATCTATATAGTTATCTATAAAGTTATCTATATAGATAAATAGATATCATTCTCGTACTTACTATGAAGATACACTTTCTATAAACTATATAGAGAGTATATCTTCAAATATCTAGGAAAAAATCATTTCAAGCTCTGAAACAGTACTCCATTCACTGCTGGTTTCATAAAAGGGGTAAAAGCATTAGGTGCCCAATTGATTTTGGTATTATGTCCATTAGAGACAGCATATTGGAATCATTTGGTGTTGGTATCAGAAGATGTTGGATCAGGTATCGAAGGAAAAAAAGGAATGAATTTGATCCAATTCAGCTGTTTAAAACAAAGACTGTCTCAAAGAAATAAAAAATCTTCTCACCAAAGACTTTTCCAAGGAAAATGGTCTTGACCAGATTGAACACAGTGTCAGAAGCGTCAGGGAGAGAGTAGCTCACAGTGGGGTAATGATCTAACTGTAGAAACACATGGAGGCATAGAAACAAATTCAGTGAAACACCATCACATACACAGTAGCAGTGTGCTCATTTTCTAATCAGCACTCACTGATCTCACAATGATTCAATCCAATTGTGATTGTTCAATAGGCTACATGACACCTACATAAGCATGTGATGACATCCAAAATAAGCTTACAATGTTTATAAATGTTTATTCCAAAGGCGTCATCTGTCAAAAGGCTACTTTAGTTAACTTTGATCAAATTGGCAAATATAACTTTGGTAACACTTTCTATCAATGTCACGGTTGTAAGTATCTATAAACACATTTATAACATGTTATAACGCATTCCTTCGGCATTATAAACATGATTATAAACATTTATAAAAATTAATTACACTTTATAGCCATGTTCATTATACATTATGAATTGTTAATATAATGCATTATAAGTAGTGTTGATAACATGTTATACTGTCAGTGCCAAAGAAGTCAGTCCCAGCTTGAAGAGCATAAAGTAAAGACAAATACCAAGCTAACGGTGGTGTACATTGACTTTCCCATGTTGGGTATAACACTGATGACAGCACTAGTTTAAAATCTGACATTTGAAGCCTGTAATGTGCTGTACTTTGTATGTTGGAGTGTTTCAGTAAATACTTCAACTTGTAGCCTCACCCTTAACACTGGAGCAGGCTTTAGTACAGTATGCTTCACTTTATTTAAAGCGGACAAATACAACTTATAAGCTCTTATAATTTGTTATGATCAGTACTTATAATGTATTATGTTAACAATTCATAATGCATAATAAGCATGGCTATAACGTGTAATGCATTTTTATAAATATTTATAGCCATGTTTATAATGCCTTATGAATGCATTTTAACATGTTATGAATGTGTTTATAGATGCTTACAAAGGTGACATTCATAGAAAGTGTTACCACAACTTTTATAGCAAATGATGCTTATAGGAATAAGCATTTATAAACAATAATGTAGGGTTATGTGAGCTGTCATGACAAGCATATGTAAGTGTCATGTAGCCTTATGAACAGCAACCAACAGTAAAGTGTTACTGGAAACAATTCAATGCATCATGAACCCCCACCTGCAACTGAATGAGTCTCTCCTGTCTGCTGATGTTGACGCTGTGTGGCTGCCCATTGGCCATGTTGCGATGGTCCAGGCTGATGGTGAAGGGCTCCTTCAAGCCCCCCAAGCTGTAGCGTATCTGCAGTGTACCTAGGAGAGACCACATCACATCTCAGTGACTTGTCTTAAGAAGTGTCTCCTGGATCAAATTAGCGTTTGATAGACTGTCTCTAAAATGCAATATTACAAGCCCACGGGCCTGTATAAAAGTATTGGATGGTCAGATATGAACAAAATCAAAACATAGTTAAAAATAAGGTAAAAAATGACATCGGGATGATCGCTGCTAAAGCGGGAGACATTAAGCTAACAATCAAGTGATTTATGTATAGCACCTTGAAAAAATGCAACACCCTTGAAACTTTGAACAACGTGCTACTTGTTCAAACACACAGTCAACGTAAATGGGAAATCATAACACATTTTCCTTTTGTACTGTGATGTATTCCTGAGTAAAACACCCAGGGGTGGTCGGAGGTGAAACAAGATATTATTTTTAATAGAGCATTACAAGAAAAGAAGAATATAGTCTTTGCAATGACAACATAACCCGGGCACATGAAGTAACAAGGTAAAAAAAATGGTAAATTTTGATTATAGACTTAAGGCCCATATTCCTGAAGTGTAGTGTTAAGGTGCTCAGGACTAGCGTATTATAATCCTCTAAAATAAATTGCCCTGCTGCTTTAGCTTTAGCTGCTACATTTAGCTTTAGCTGCTGAATTTCACATTCTCAAAATGGCTAAATGCTTTACTGTTAACAGTTAACAAATAAAAAAAGCCCAAACTCTATATATTTTAAATGATGATAGAAAATGACCATAAACACCTGCACGTTTTATCAAGCCAGCAACGCTAATGCTAGTTTTTGAACAGCTCCCCTGCAACACTGAGCAGCAGCCAATGCCAGACCATACTTAGTTTGAGACAATTCCAGTCAAGAGCATTACAGTGTCTATATTGGCAGTTTGTTACATGGTCCCGTTTCTTTGAGAGCTCTATCAATACTCATATATGAACACCAAGCTTCCAGACAGGACATAAATGACATTTGTAAAAGCCTACAGTCCAATAAATGATGAGATGATTTTCATATGCAAAAAGCACATGATAGCCTGATAGACTCTTAGTGAAGCATGGCTTCCTCTAATAAACATTTTTCTTTGCTCCACTAAAACAGTGTGTATTTGAATCTGCCATTATCTCTCATTAAAGCCTGGTTTGAACAGGGTTCTATGGGCTGAGCTTCTACTGTCTTCCACAAACACGTTCAAGCAGACTAAACTGTCTATCAAACACCGCTCACGTTAAATAAACAAACAGCAGTGCAGTGACATACAGTAGATATTTTACACTTTGTAATCGCTAAAAATACTGAAGTCTGAGTTACGAGTAATACAGAGCCAGTGTTTAACATTTCAGCACCACGTTATGGTGCAATTTTAGCAGAAGCTGTGCTTCTTCTAAAGTCTTAAAGCAACCTTCACTGCTGTAAACACAGGACGTGTGTGTATGAAGGAACATTGTTCTGTTCCACTGTATACTTGTATTTGGCTGGGATGACAACAAACTTCTTCTGGTCAACATCTTTGTGCTCACCATTATGGCGCAGCACCACTGCCAGGTAGTCCTGTGTCTTGGAGCTGATGTACACCAGCACGGAGGGGGCGTGAGATGTGCTGAAGCTGAAACTCAGCTCCTCCTGAGTCAGGTTCCCCTCCACACTCAGAGCTCCAGACACACCTTTTTCCACAGGGGCAGAGGCACTGTCCGACATGAAGTCATACCGGACCATCGTGCCACTCTCAAAGTAGCCCCCGACATCTGTAGCACACAGAAATGAAACAAAAGTTGACTAATTAGACAGTGAGTGAAATTATGCTAGACAAAATGTCTACACAGCAAAATATTAATTTGCTCTGAATATCTAATATTTTTTAATTTGAGATATTTTAATTTGTAAGGATAAAATTAACTTATTTCTAGAAATCTATTGAAACTGAATTTATAAATATATATATATATATATATATATATATATATATATATATACGAAACAGAAACAGCCTAAAACAGTACCATCTGTACAGAAAGGCCCATCGAAGGCTGTGAGGCCGCAGTCGCAGGAATAGCCATTATATTTCTCCACACATTTGCCGCCATTCTGACAGTGCATGCCGTAGCTGGAACAGTGACCTGAGCAACCGGGCTTCACCCCTGGGGTCACCTTTGCCCGTTCCTCCAGATCAAGGGTCACGCCGTTCATCTTCAGGGAGCGGATGCATCCCAGAAATCCTCTCTGCCCTCCCGAGGCGCCTGCGATGTTAAATCAATATCGCTGCTTTAGATTCAGAGGCACAAGGTCCACTCTCACCCCAGCACTACATAAATTTACACAAATATGAAGTACTTATGCATTTAGAACATTGCAGAGAGTCTCTTATCTGGCAGGAAATCTATACAAAGAAAAAACAGTCCGAAGAGTCCAAGGCTATGTCTGTAACTATGCCCTATTTTCTACACGGTGCACTATTTTGACAGTGCCATTTTGCCATTTGTGGTGTCCAAAGATACTGAATACACAGTGCACTCTTACAGTCATACAATGTACCACAAAAGGTAGAACAAACTAAAATCTATCCTTTCTTATTAAATATTTTATTTATTTTTCTGTTTATTCTGTTCTTGTAAAGCATGTTAAGCTGCATTTTAACATATAAAGAAGCCTTTCTGAGGTGCTAGATTTCAGGATGTCATAAGCTGTATTGTTTATTATTATTTAATGCTTTTATTTTTCTGAGTATTATTATTATTATTATTATTATTATGAATGTGAAATTATGTGTTATTTTTAATCACACTGGTCATATTTGGATGTACATTAACTTTTTTTCTAAATGCAGTGCATTTTGTTATAGGTATATGAGTGGACAAAATAAGATTAATCAGAATGTCTTTGTTACTTTCATTAATTCTATAACATTATTTGTATTGTGTGAACACAAGTAAGAGCAACAGTGATCACATATTCCAACAAGCTAGTTTAAGTATAATATATATCATGTATACAGTCAATCTCACTCTCATTCATACAGCTTGTGGATTCTTGTTACAGTGAAGGCTCTTGAGGAGAACCGGAGTCTTATACTGTAGCCTATCATAGCAACATACAGTACATGAGCAGCCGGGCTTCATCCTGGACTATCACAGACGGACTGAATGGTCAAACTAGGATAAAGCTTTTGCTGAGTAAAACTAAAAAATAATAGGTTTTTGCTTTAAATTTGACAGCCCTTATTGTTATCGGACCAATTGTGTTTTGAGATGTATTTGTCTTACCCACAAACAGCTGACTGTAGAGCTGTAGCCGGGTGTGGCCCTGAGGCGGGGCTGCCCGCACCTCCCTGTGCTGCTTATCCAAACGCAGCACTGCCTCTTTCACATTGCGCTCCACCTCCACCCGATGCCACTGGTCGTCATTGAGAGGCGTTGGTGAGCGCACAGTCAGCTCCACCGGCCCGTTACCCACATCAAATGAGAAGGACACCATGTAGGCAGCTGCAAAGAGAGGGTCAGTTACTTCTCTGAGTGTCAGGATTTGAAAAGTCAAAATGCCCCAGGAAACTTTCTAATAATAATAACCCTAGAATGCATGTACTGGCAACCATTTGGGTCATTGGCAACCCAGGCACTTATGCTCCCCATACACTTTAGTAGCCTTGCACTTCCAATTCCACCATTTTACAAGCCCCACCCACCTTATAGGTCCATTCTTTAGATGTACGATTACAGACTGTCGCCCATTTGTTGTCCATCTATTATCCTCCCTCTGACCATTAATGAAGGGCTAATTAATGAAGGTAGGGATTTCTGATAGACTCACAAATTGATTTATAAACTGTTGTGTAGTGGAGTAAAGAAGTCAACACATTTTACTGACAACCACAAAGTAATAAAATGACTCATATTTTGTTTGTCACTTATCTCAAAATAAGGCTATGGGTTGTTATCAACCTGAAGTATCCATGTAAGGGTTAAAACAGCCTGGCAAAGTCAGGGAGCAGAAAGCACTTAAAGCACTAATGGTCTACACTTACGATATATTCTTGGTAAGATGATACGGCTCATTAGAGGCCATTAGTGTTTTCAAGGTGCTTATAAGCTACATTTCATGCACAGTTGAAATCATGTCTAAAGGTGAATAAAGTTTTACTGCGTAAATCACTCACATTTCAGCTCCAGGCGAATAAAGTCGGTGTTGCCCATGTTCTCCAGAAAGACGCCGTACGAGGACGAGGTCTTGAAATAGAAAGAGATATCTGCACTGGTCTCCCCTCGAAATGTGGGAAAGTGTAGATATGATGCCGGTGTGTTGAAGGATGCAGCATTCCAATAATTGCCTAAGCAATAAACAGAAGCGCAAATTAGACAGTTCACATAGGTCACAAGGTTTCTACATGCATTTAAGAGAATATGTTGGAGAAATATCAGGTTTACATATTTCTCCCCTTACCCCAAATGCAGTTGGTCAGCCAAAACATTTTTGGTATCTACAGTTAGCTTCCTTGGTTGAAGCTATGAAGCAAAGGTAGCTAACCAGCAATAGAAACTTATTTAGATCAAAAACATTGTACAAACTGCATGCCTAAATCATCAATATCGACCTCAAAAAAGTAGCAAAGCCATGCATTTTTGTAGATATTAGTACATCAGTAGGAGAAATCACATAAGCAAGTCTATTACAGATTGCTTAACAACTTGATGCAGTTTAAAGCAAGTGTGATGATTTAGACATGCAGTTTATACAATGATAAATGTTACTTAAAGTACTGTACAAAAGTCAGAGACCAACCACCACTAAGTTAGCAATTTTTCACGAGATATTTCTGAGGAGATTAGAAATAAGAGCACAAGCGAGAGGAAAGTCAAAGCAAAAAATAAAGGGAAAAACAGAACTTTCTAGAGAAAATGGTACTCTTAACGACTGTGCAAGATGTGGTAGACCACCAAAACTGTCACCATCAGATAAACAGCACTTAAATTTGCCAGTTTTCTTGTTTGCCATTCAAAACAAGTATGCTGTTGGTGTTCTGTGTTTGGGTTTAATTGGATCGTGAGAAGCTGAAAATGCAACTTCTAAGACTGAACTGTGTAGAAAAATATTTCGCCTTTTTTCCTTTATAAAAATGTAAAGAAGTCTCCTGAAAAAAAAAAAAGATTTTATATTTAGCTGGGTCCTCAGTGTAATGTTCTGTTAAATATATGCTTTCTTTTTTCTGATGCTGAAAATTTTGATTGAATATGAAATAAATGAAACATGGTCTCTGGCTTTTGCACAGTACTGTATTTGTTACTTGTTAGCTACACTAGCCTTATAACTAGCACAAAACTAAATAAGGAAAAAACAAACATCTTGGCTGATTATCTGTATTTGGGGTAAAAGGAAAAACTGTAAAATTAACTTTTCGTTTAACAGATGAACATTTGGCAGATATCCATCAACAAATGGTCACGCTGTAGTATCAGCAAGCAAAATGTACATTGATCTGCCTGAGTAGGTATCTCACGCATTCCAAAAGGCAAATCAAAGCTAATATCATTCTACGTACGGTCTCCTTGGCAGCGGAGAGGCCCTACAGTAAGCTTGGCCTCAGATCCAGAACGCTGTGTGTCCCCAACAACCACTTGAGTGACAGGTAGATGGTCCTTATACATCAACACACCTGCGTCCTCCCTCCTGTGGAAAAAAAAACACACAAACCACATTCAGATAAAAGCTTCTGACCACCAGAGGGCAACATATCATCATGAAATTTGTAGGCCTGCAAGTATCCAGTGGCTCAAAGTAAGACTGCTATTCAATAACATTGTATTTGTTAGGGACACAAAGCACCTAAACAAACCCTGAATCAGGATCTACATGCACAAAAGATTTCTTATATATAGTCATCATTCAGCAGGATGTTGTGCTTTACTGATGCATTCTGCAATTGAAATTGATCCAGAGCTAATACAGGCAAATGAGCCCAGACTGCTACCTCCCCTCACCAGGAGAAGTGGAACTCATTTATCAGACCCAAAATCCATCTAAACCCATCTAAACAGGCTATAAGATTCCATCATGTGTTAGCTACATTGTGGGTCCAGTGCAATACTAAAAAGCAAACTTCAGACACTAAACATCTCTAGGCTGATTGAGTACAGTTGGTTAAGGTGAAAACTGTGTGTACATTTGAATTTTTGTCATCACTTTTAGGCACTTTTTAGAGTGAACAGAGGTCTCACCACTGTCTCTGGTCAGCATCGCAGTTGCAGTAGTAGTTAGGGTCAGTGCAGTTACGCTCAATGCCACAGGCACATTTCTGAATTCCTGGTCCCGAGCCGCCCCAGTAGAAGTGTTTCTCATTCCCCCGACCAACCCACCAGGTGTACGGCGAGCCATCTATCACAAACAAACAAAAATTAATTTATTATTAACAATATTTGATACTGCAGCTATTCATAGTTGTGCAAAAATAAACACCTGCTATAACCAGGGCCTTGTCTTTAATATGAGCAAGACAGCACGTATATACTTTTCAAATGAACAGAAGAGGAATCTCAGGTGTATTCATTAAGAGAATCCAAATCCAAACTGTAATACTGTGTATCGTGGGATAATTACTGATTCACCTCGAACGCTGAGAAACAAAGTTTCTTTCTAAAGTAGTTAAGCTCAGCCAAAAGAACAAATATTACAGCTCAGCTGGTAAAATCCACATAATTCCCTGATTCTCAAAGTATCACAGCTTAATATAAAGTGGGAATAACAAGGTTGAGACCATTAAGAAGCCTCTATAAGGATAGATGGGCTTTCTGACTTTGATAGATGAGCTATTTCAGTAAGGAAATGCAATTACTATCGATTTCCACCCTGCTGAAAAGACCAGCGCAAACCAGCATGAATTCCATGCTAGTCCATGCTGGTTTATACAGGTCTTGTGCTGGTCGGGTGCTGCTGGGTGGCCAGCTAAACCATCACTGGTCATGGGGCTGAGCATAACATTTTTCAGTAAGAGGCAGCTAGCCTAGCCCTGCTTTAGCAAATCCCATAGAGAGCTGACTCAGTAGGCTAGTGGTGCGCTAATCTGCGTTGAGGGTATGTGTGAAGACTTAGACCCAGAGTAAAGAACTCTTCAAACATTAGCTCCTGCTGGGAAGAGCAGACACACATTCACACGCTGTCTTGTGGAGATAGCAGGCAGAGAAAGCAGTAAGGGTGAAAAGAGAATCGGTAAGGATTGGTGGATCTTCTGATCCTGAGATTACCTTCTGAGAATCAATCCTTACATAAAAAATACTGATGCAGGCTCCCTATAGTGGCCATTCTGCTAGCAGAATGGAACTTGACTCAGATATTTTTAATGAATATAATAAAATTAAATATTTTTTCCATGTAACTCTGTTATCAGATTAACTAGGATACTGTTGGCTCTCTGTATGTGTAATGTTGAGCTGCTAGTGAGCAATAAGGGGCAAAAGGAGTGCCCCTGCTGTGAAAACAATTCACACTTTTCCATAAAGATGCTCAAGCCAAGATAAAATGAACAACACTATCTTGATTTTAAAAGATTGTGTACAGCTGCCACAATAAAGCATTTAACCCCTTGAAGTTCCATACTAAGGCTTAACATTCAGTAACTACACGGACGTCAGTGCAAACTGGCTGAGCTATTCTTAGGTTATAGAAGTGTGTAATAAAACTTTGGGCCTGCTGGTGGGCCCTGGCCATTTAAGGGATTAAACAAAATAAAAACACTGATAACTATTGATTTTCTTGCTCACCTATAAAGGCAAAAATCAAGTTTGCTTCTAGTATTTTAAGCCATACACATTTCCATCATTCAAAAATATTCTTTCAACATTGTTGAAGAAAAGAATGATTAGTTTAGCCGAGGGATCTCCCCCAAAACAGCAGACATTGCATTTTATGGCCACTGTGAAAAAGCGTTAACCAGTAATTTTTATTTGTTTTATAAAATTGAACATCTATCTATCTGATGCTGAAAAAGTGAAAAAAAGATTGAAACCAATAAATCAAATGTCTTACCTAAGTATGTGGTGATAGGCCTAATATTATTGAAGAGCACAGTTTTGCAATAAATCGTAGGTTGATAGATACGTCCAGACTCTGGACTTTTTAGTTAAGATAAATGCAAAGAGTCCCAAATATATGTTTATTGAAGGCTGTATTTTTTTTAATAAAGATTTCCCCCTTTTGAACACAAGAAGACTTTTGAAATTATTTATATTAATACTGGTATCAGGATTTTAGCCTTGGTATTATTCGGTATCAGCCTGGAAAAAAAATCAGTGCTACTGCCAATCCCTAACAGAGACAAAAAGAGGGATGCAGTGAGGGAAAGGGGAGAGGGAATAGAGATTTTCTGCCACACACACACACACATGCTTCTTTACCTGGTGAGTTGAGTAGGCGTGACATACGGCAAGCGTAGGCCACATACTGCTCACAGTGCTCTGCGCTGCTGGTGATAGCGTTTACCTAAACAACACAATAACACAAACACTGCTCAAAAGGTGAAAAGGTCAGATAATATAACCATCTGTATAAAGCCATGCTGTGATTTTGTATGAGTTACTTCTCACTCGCAGCTCATTGAAACAAGCTAAGATATTCTAATGGTTCTAAACATTGACTCCCATTTGTGTTTGAACGTAATAGAGGAGATATTTTATTACAGTTTGAATTTTGAGTACAATTATATTTTGTCACGTTTCTGTCATTTTATGACATCTTAACAAATAGCAAGCCTGCTGATTCAGAATGCTGAATGTAAATGTTATTAATTGCATAGTGGTGTTATTAATTATGTAAATATGAAATTACTTTTAAACATATATCAAATATATCGCAAAATGACAATACTAAGTCTAGGCCTTTAAGGGGTAACAATGTGCCTTGTCCTTCACGGTACAGCAGAAGTGTTTCAGCATAGATCTAGAGAGAGAAAAGCACCTGGTCAGTGGTCATGCTGTAGTTGAGCCTCAGTACAGTTCCCTGTGCGGGATCAGAGCCTGAGCTTACTGCGCTCTGAGGAGGTAGATCATTTACCAGTGTCGTCCACACTTTGTCCTCTGAAACGCAACCACACATATATACAACATCAAAAATCAACCGATTTGTAGTACTGAGTACTATTAGGGTGGAATTCGTTTTACATGGGGAGATGAGGTAAAGTAACATTACGTTTGTAATGTTTATGACAGATTTGCATGGGATAAAAAACTTAAAGCACTGTTCAGATTAGATTAACTCATCAGTGGGATGAAAAAAAAACTCATGCATCAGGACGAGTAACAAAAATCCTATAGGAGGTATGAGTTTAGGGCTGTATTTTCTATGCACTTGGATGTTTGCGTCACATGTGGACATCTGATCATGCTCAATGTACATGAAAAGTTGATAATACTGCAGATAGAATGTAGTGCTTTATTCATGTAGTTGCCATTGTAATGACCCTTTTAATCAGCCTGCGAGATCTCATCTCTCTGATAGATTTTATTTTCTTTCTCCTTCTGCTAATGCTCTTCCAGTGTAGAGTGGATGGAGACAAAGTTCTACCTTCCAGACCAAGTAAATGGTCAAAAGACTTCCAAAGCATACGTTTTGCGATTTGGAAAATATTTAATATGGATATGCTTGCTAGAAGACTAAACACAGCGAGTAGCAGCGATCAAAAACTCCTTTCCAATGCAAAAAAAAAAAAAACGCTTTCCCAACATGGCTGACTTGGACAACAATAAAATCAGAGAGGAGCACCTGTAAAAGAGGATATTACCTCTGGGATGCAAATTTAATCTCGTGCCTTAGCATAAATTACGGAAATGGGAGTGGCTACTCAATTTATGCATTGCTGTCCATATGTAACATGTCCAGCTGCTCACATTTAGAAAGCATGTTCAAACTATGGCTGTCACTATTGATTAATCAAGTAAACTAGTAATTATTTTGACAATTAATCAAGTGTAATATTTTTTCTTAAGGCCAAACAATAAATATTGGCTTAACTGGACAATGATTAGCAATGGAGTTCAGTTCTCTTACAGCCCGTGTCAGGCTCCAGTCCTCATGGGCCAAAACACTGCAGACTTCCGCACACTGCCTCATTAAGCACACCTGATTCAGCTCATCAGCTGACTAGCAAGGCCTTCATGAACTGAATTCAGAGAGATAGATTTTTTAGCTTTGGCCTGGAAGGTCCCCATTGACATCTGCAGCATTTGAAGCTTGTAACAGACATTCAAGTGTCAAATTCTTTATTTTGTATATTGTGTTTTTACAGTATCTCTGAATATTACTGGAATAGTGTTATAGCCTGTTAGCTGTCTGCTGAGCTGTTCAGTCTAGATCTGATTAAACAAAACCTTTATTTTAAATACACTAAATTTGTAACTACAAACTAAAAATCCAGTGAAATTTTAATCGAGTAATAAATTAATTAATTGAGTAATTGTGACAGCCCTAGTCCAAACATTACATTTACTAGTAATAATGTTTACTCTAACAATGTACCTAGCTGTCTAAGGTGAACGCAATATGTCATTAGCATTGCCACTAAGGTGGGAATTTACAGCCAACAGTCATCATCACTGTATAACATCAACTGTCATTTTACATGTTTTAATGTTTGAGTCACACACTTGAGGTTCAACAATACACATGAGCCACAGAAAAAATAATTAAATGCTTCTTTGAGAGACTTCATGCTTAAGAAAAAAACATTAAAAAATCCTTTTCCAGAGAAAATAATGCAATGTTTAATGAAATGGCAATTCACATGTTTTGTCTGCAGTTTTCAGTAATGAAAAATACTGAGAAAAACCAGCAGAACTAATCTCTGTCCTCACAATGATTCAATTTGCTAACAATTCTTTATGAAATTATTGAAATCTTCAATCTTCAATTTTTGCCATGATTCAATTAAATTCTATTAATTTAGTATGAAGTATTTTTAAAAGACATACTGAATACATAAATGTGACTGAAGCAGTATATTTTCACAGCACTGAAATATAGACAATAAGAATATGCTAAGCTTTTAGCCATGTTTAAAATGTTTGAAAATGGCCCAGGATTTTTATTTTGGAGGAAATTAGTGCATACTTTGTTGAATATTGTTAGAATTGATTATAATATTATAATGCATTACACTATTTCAAATGCAGCTGACGCTTTGATCTGAAGGTGGTGATTCAGCTGTGTTGATTTTTTAACATTATAATCAATAGAAATATTTTTACATGCATTAATATAAATCTAGTTGTAAGAACACAACAGTCTTGTGCAAACAGAGACGTTGTCTCTCACCCATCATGTTGCAGCTGACTTTAAAAGGCTCCAGGGGTCCGCTCCCATCCGGATCGATCCAGTATGAGTCGGAGGTTCGGCCCAGGTGCTTATATTCTTCGCAGGACTGCTCATAGACAGCTGCAGGAGAACAGCCGTAAGCACATTAGCAAACGCTAACACACACACTCTGCTGTAATAACTGCAACAGCACTTCATTTTTGTACACACTCAGCTAAATTCAGAGCGAAGAGAGAGAGAGAACACACAATCCATACCTAAAGAATGTGGTACTACGATACTTTTTTCTAGATATGTTTACTATGTGTTACTAAGAGCATTAGCAAAGACAATTAACTTGCTAATCCCACCCGGATGAATGGACAACGTTAGAATTAAACAGGTAATAAACAGGACACAGCACATAGAAACAGTATACTGTTGATCTAATTAAGATGCATACATGTGTGGCAGGTAGCTCCCATGTATCCAGTGCCATCACAGGAACATTTAAACGTGTCACCAGTCTGGGAACACCTGCCTCCATGCTCACAGTGGTTAGGGACACACCTGCAAGGGAACAGGACCAATTATTAGAATGTTTACACAAGAAAACTTCATATTTAATAGAAAATTATACAGAACACTCAACAACTAAATATAATACAAATCTTTCAGTGTTAAGAGTGTCCACACTTTGCATTTTAGTGCAGGTTATCTGATGGGAACACTTTTAGTGGTATACCAGGCTTTCCAGATGTTAGGAGTCCCATTTTCTCTGTAATTTTTAGTCTTTTTTTTTTTTTATTCAGTTTTGAAAACTCAATTTTCCTTTGACATTCCTTCTTATGCAAGTCTAATCTTCTCAGAAATATCTCCTGAAAAGTGAAATATATGTTTTTGCTAGAAATTAAATAAATGAAGGGTGGTCTCTGACATTTGCACAGTACTATAATAATGCGATTCACAACTGGCTAAAGAACTCACAATATCTTGCACTTAAAAATGTGGCTTCAGCTCTTAGTTAAGCAATCATGCTGATAAAAGTAGTGCCTTAAATTAATGTAGTTTTGTCTTTTAGTTTACGTATTTTTGACAGTAAATACATTGATGCAGTATAACTTCTTCATGTTCAATGCATTATTTTTCTCAGTGCATTATGATAAACGAGTATGTGAATGTGTCTGTGTGAGATATGTTCGGCCCATATTTTGTTCATTACGGCTAGTGTCTTGCTGTAATGGTACTATGAGAATTGTAATTTCTGCAAAACTGTAGGTGTGGTACTCAGTAGAGACTGTTCTGTGTAGTGTTAGATCAATGGGTTGTTCTTGCTTGTTCCTGAGTATAGAAGCTGTCAGCGTGATCAAACAGCACCGGGTCATGTGAAGGGGGGCTTTGAAGATGAAATCCTGCTGTGTTAAATCAATGACATCAGAACCAGAGATAGTTCTGCTCCACTGCTATAAAAGTGCTTATGTAAATGAAGTATTACCAAGCTGTCACCGAGCTCCTATCCTCACCACTTATGGCTGCACTGTCACCAAACGATAGATAAACGTAGACAAAAGACAAGGATGCAGTGTTTCTGATTGAAACCAGCTGTCTGCGTACAGTGTACGCATATAATTTGAGATCTTTGTTAGCATTCCCTGAACATCTTTATACATATAGGCCAATCAAAACCAGTGTATATGTTTCTTTTCTATGTAGGTCTACAAAAACATTAGTACAAATATTTAATTCCTTAAAAGCTCCTTATGGTGATGTAGGTTTGTTAAGACAGTAGCCATTACTACTTCACACATTTAACACATAGCACTGAAAGACAGACTCATCACCACACTTAAAGTATTTTAGCCAGGTGAGCTGTACTTGTGCGGGTGCTTTGTAAGTGGCAGATCAGCAGACTTACTAGCTTGGGGATGCACTTGGGAGATTAGAGGTTTAGGGGTGCACACCACTACACTAATATTAAACATGGATACATTCCCACCTGTGTACATGTACTGTAGTTTGTTTCTGTTTATTTGTTTACTATTTGTATCTTTCGGTCACGCAAGGACCAGTTTCACCTAGCAAAATTCTTTATCTACAAAAGTGTGCTTGGCTAACGATGTGATTCTGATGATGTATATGCACCTGTCTATAATGGCACACATGTCCAAGCTGACATTCTCGAAACTTCCCAGCATGCCCTTCTCCACAGCGTGCAAGTCCACCAGTTCTCCATCCACATGGATAAGCTGCATGCAGCCCTGGAAGGAGCGCTGAGATGGAGAGAGGTCCGTCCGTGGGAAGTAGCCTGCAAACCAGAAACAAAACTGAATAAAATGAAAACTGGACTCTCCACTACTGAAAGGCTTCATTCTGATGTAACATGTGTTTGCATATAAGGAACCTGATTAATTCAATCAAAATGGTATATCAACAGCCACATTCAACATGTTCAACAACATGTTCTTATGATTCTGAAAAAATCACCTCCAAAGTAGTAATCTCCTACTGTCCGGATCTGAATGGGCAGAGAGGCTCTTACAGAGGATGTCTCATCACCGTTGATGGTCAGCATTGCGAAGCTCTCCAGAGCCAGGAAATGAACACTGTGCCACTGTCCATCATTGAGGCCAGAACCTGGGCAGAAAAACAGTTCAGCTAAATTAAAAATATATAGAGAGATGTCAAGTCTCAATTCTATCTATCTATGTATCTATCTATCTATCTATCTATCTATCTATGTATTTATCTATCTATCTATCTATCTATCTATGTATCTATCTATCTATCTATCTATCTATCTTTATATATCTGTCTATATATCTCTTTTCTGAGAGACAACATTAACTTTTAATCAAATTTCAATTATAAATATAGCTGCAGGTGGCAATTCAGGGGTCCAAGAACTAATTTGCAAGGTGGCCCCATGTGTTAATAGGCCCAAGTAGATAATTACAGATATACTTTTCTGACAACAGAATAACACTTTTACTGTTTTTTTTAGAGCTGAGGCCAAGTTTGATATAAATCAAAGTAAGCTGTGCAATTTAGCAAAACACAGCTATTGGGGAAATTTAAAGAGAGCTAAAAATATTTTGGTTTTATTTAGCACTAGTTTGAGGATTGTTGTAACTCCCACACAGACCAATTAATTAAACAAAAATTAGGCATGCTCCTTCAGATTTTAATAATATATAAATGTGCTAGGTTTGGCCAAAATCAGACAATGCATGACTGAGTTTTAGACAAGCGAGAAACTCTGCTGTTTAATTGATGTGTTGTTGACATAGTATAATAAAAATTCAACACTTTTTATAATTATTTCACTCCATCTGCACTGTGTGTTTCAAGACCAATTGTGAGCTAATGGATGAAAATCCTATGACTTGTTTGAAAAGTTCTACTTGCAAACAATTGACAATTGTGGACATATGGTGAATTTTTTTAAAAGACTTGTCAAAATTTCTCTCACAGAATTGCATAATTGGAACTTAATTTCAAGTCTACAAGCAAAACACACAAAAATGTACTTGTTAATAATTTTAAAAAACATGAGCAGCTCCCCCTTGTGGTCAATTGTTGTAAAATTTCAATTGCTAATGGACAGTCAATACATGCCATACCAGTCAAGTTTCATGATGATCAGCCACTGCTAAACCTGTCAAATGCCTGCTAAAACTTTAGAATCTGCACTTTCAACTGGATTTCTCTTGTTGTTTCAATGAGCGAAGAGTGATAAATAATATATTATTGCAAATTCCTTTTGCTATTGCTGCTGATAACATCAATGTATATGGCTTTTAAGTAGAGAATGAATATTGTGATTCAACATGCAAAATGTGCCTTGTAGAGGGTCATGTGGCTCTGTGCTGTTACCTGAGGAGATGTCCACACGTGTATTCTTGCCCTGCGAGATGTAGATGTGCACCACCACTTTACCCTCCACTAGGCTGAGCTCCACACCTCCGGGCATGAGTGGGGTGAAGACCAGCAGACCGCTGGGGCTCCATGTGCGGAACTGCAGGCTGACCGACACTGTGTCCGCGTCGCTCTGGCCTGGAAGCTGCAGGGTGCTAGTGGAGTTAAAGAAGGCTGGAAACGTCTGTGAGGCTGGGCAGGTGTAGGTCAGGTTACGCTAGGACAAACACGAGAGAGTGAACTGAATGTAGGATTGTAATAATTACTCAACTCAACCCAATTTTACATTTTTTAAAAAACATACATTAAAATTCACTTTCTTAATGAAGTGAAAATGACTAGCTGGCAATTTGCATGATGATAATGCATGTTTTAAATTGTCACACTGGCCTCTTGCAGTAAGAATCAGAGCTTGATGGACATTCTCATTTATATACATATACATATTTTTGGCCACTGTTTGGCTCATAAACTGCTTTCTTCTTGTATTTTACTTTTATCCCACTTATGCCATTTCTGCCAGTTTATGTACCAAAAACAGGGACTATTTTCCTACATGCCCATTTTCTACCCTTTTTGCTTCTGTGCCTTTAAGACTGATATATGTAAATAAGCTCCGCTTTTATTGGCTGCCCTTTATTATACCTCCTTGGAAAAGCAGTTCAGGCTGAAACACTTCTTATAATTTTAATGTGAATAGGTGGAGCTAAACTGCTTTTGGCTGAATAGGCACATATACGCAAATGTGTTGGTTTTCCTGACATCACTAATTCAAAATGGGCTGCTTTGAGGCTTAGTTTGTGTGTGTGGACTGTAGAGACTAGAGAATAATAATGTGTAGTTTGGAAACTGAGGACATTCATCCTGACATAAAACACTGGGGTTATACTGGGTACATTGTGCTATTTGGGGTATCAAATAACTCATTGGGTTACAACACCATGGGATATGTATGAATTTAGGGGAAGGGATTTACACGTATATTACTTACATTACAGTTAAAGGGGGGTCACTGGTTACATTAATGGGTTATTTACATTAAATAGGTAAGTGACTGCACAGGAGTGGATTAATTCACACTACACAACATTTCTCAGCTGGGCCTCTACCTGAGAACATAACACAGCACACACACACAGACAAACACTGCAAAAAAGGGCATCTTATCAAGTGAAATGATCTTAAATCTAGTTGATATACCTAATATTTCCAACTTTGATCTGGTTGTGCACTTATTATAAGATTATCTAACTTATATCTAGACACGTTTCACTTGTTTTAAGCAATTTAAGTAAAATTGTCTCACTATACTGGCAGGTAGTTTTGCTGGCTTCAAGCACATTTCTTAAAACAAGCAAAGTTATCTGCCAACATGGTGAGAATATTTGGCTTAATAAACTTACTTATAACAAGGACAAAAATGTCTAGAGATAAGGTAAATAGTTTAAATTCAGCTTACAACAATCTCAAGAGCAGAAATACTAGATTTATTGACTATTTGTAAGATAATTTTACTTGACAAGATAGCATTTTTTTGCGGTGAACACACACATATAGCACTGTTCAAAAATCAGAAACTACCTTTCATTTTTTTTAATTTCTAGTCAAAAAGTCCACTGAGCACAGTTTATTCATTTTTTTAAGAGATATTTCTGAGGAGGTTAGATATAAGAAAATCCACTTTTGCAAAAAGGTGAGGAGAGTCAAAGGAAAATAAATGAAAAAAATGAGTTTCCAAAAGTCATAGGACTAAAACAGGACTAAAAATAACTAAAATAGAACTTCTAACAAGACCTGGTAGATCACCAAATCTGACGCCATCAGATACACAGAACTGAAAGCTCCACACCTGAACATCAATGAATGTGTTTTGGATTGCTTGGATCATGAGAAGCAGAAAATGCAACTAACTTCTAATACTGGACTTTGCAGGTGAGGAAAAAATCCTACAGATTTTTTGGAAAAACTGAAAGCAAGTCTCTTGAAAAGAATGGAATCTACATAGTAATAAATATTGAATAAATATGATATTTAGTTGTTGAGAATTCATGTGTAATTTTCTGTTTAATACATGTTTTCTCCTTTCTATTTCTGGACAAAATGAATACTTGTACTTAATGGCTCTTCTGACTTGAAATTAAATACATGAAGGGTGGTCTCTGACTTTGGCACAGTACTGGAGTACATTTTTAAGGGAAGCTCAAGGACGGGGCAGAAGAAACCAGGTAGAAAAGTGAGTAGAACTGAAAAAAAAGACTTACACTGTTTGTCAAAAATAAAAGTTCCAAAGCCTAGTGCACTGCAAATGGCATAGACAGTATATTAAAACAGTTTAAAAGCTCTAAACATGTTCTGAAGGGTCAATACAAAAAGGAACAATGATCTTAATGTCTTTTGTCACTGTGCTGTAAATCAGAAATAAGCTCGGCCCATAAATGTCCAGAGCTTGGACAATCTGCCAGTGCTAACGCTGAAGCATACATGCAGTGTAAACCCCTTAGCAACCTATACGCTCTGCAGCACTCAGTTAAAAATAGAGATGCAAATTAGACCCTTACAAAACTGGATGTGTCCACTCTCTTCCTGCGGGCCAGGTTGGTGATGTTGTCTCCGTTGTAGTGGATGCCTTCCATGCAGCCGATGAAATTCTGTGGGCCGCCTGAGCTAGGCTTAGCTGACACAGGCATTCCTCCAAAACTGATCTGTGAACAGATGTGCAGACAGAAATATGAGCAAAAGCAGAACATTTACAGTGGTGTTCAGGAATTGGCTAGTAATGTAGCAGGGAGCTGTCAAGATGCTAACTGGTTCTTAGCGTCATTAGCTTTTATGCCGTTACTAACTTGAATTGATTATTAGCCATATCAGCCTTTTAGGTCATTGGCCAATCTTTCTGTTTTATTTCTCAACCTCAATTGTTGAAAATGTCAACATCTACAGTTTTATTACAGTGGTATGCAGCACCTAGCTAGTAATTGTTAGCCAATGATGTCATGTTGCTACTAGCTTCAGCAACAGCATTTTTGGGCATTAATTTAATCTTCAGCCGCTAATTTTGCTCTCATTTCACAAGCTGAATTGTTGAACAAATGTTGATATCTGTTATATCTGTAATGTCAATACAAATGTTGACACATAAACATTTATAAAATGTAGAAATTGGGACTAGCATTACAGGACAATGTAACATTTATTTTTCTGTAGGGTTACAAATTCAGTAAAATGAATAAAAGCAGACATTGTAGCTAAGTAGCCCAGTGCCACCCAACCTCTGGAATACAGTGAATCTGAGATCAAGTATCGCTTTGAAATAATGGTCAAATCTAAACATGTCTCTGATGCCAAATTAGGCATCTTTAGCAATTATCTGCCAATACCATTACGATTCCAATATTATTGTCCATCCCTAACTTATAGTATTGCAGCATTTGGCTAACAATCTATTGTGTAATATGGTGTCATGATGCTAACTGCTCCCTACTGGCCTTTTACTTATCTTTAGCAACACCAACTTTTTGGACATTACTTTAATCTTCAGTTAGGTTATTAACCTTAATCTGATTCTCTCTTATTTCTCAAATGTTGCTGTCCATAGAAAAACATGTAGCTCCAAAATAGTAGAAGAAGAAGAAGGCAAAATTTTTAACATTTCTTTTGGTCCAATTATCATGAAATTTCCACAGATGTAAAGGACAGCTGCTGTGTTCAGTAGATGTAGAAAAATAAAAATCGACAAAAATGAAGATGTGTGGGGTTTTTTTGGACAGCGACAAAATGGTAAACAGCTACAGTGTTGTGCAGCACTTGGCTAACAATCTGCTATGGAACTGCATAGTGCCATGATACTAAGTGGTCCCTACAGGGTCATCCTTATGTTCCCAAGCCCCCTTATTTGGTCATTGGAATTTCTATGAAACAGCCCAATTGCGTAGCTAGCAATTTAGCTCACTTTTTTAAAAATGCTTCTTGTTGTCGCTTGTATGACCTCTGGTGACCTCAACCACGAGGAACCCTTTCATAGGTCTCCTTAATGTATCATCCAACACCAGCTTTTTTGGGCATTACATTAATCTTTAATCTAATTGATTCTCTTTTGTTTCTCAAACTGCAGCACTGAACAAATGCTTAAAATCCACACTGTTGTGAAGCAATTGGCAAACAAGCTACTCTTAGAACTGCATAGTGCTAAAATGCTAATTGGTGCTGGCTAGCTTTTATTCGTCATTAGCAGGAACAGCCTTTTTGGGCATTGCTTCAATCTTCAGCTATTAGTTCTCAATGATTTCTTTAGCTTTGCTTAAGCTTTTAAACCCCCCTCCACACAGAAAACACCCCAATTAACAGATATTTTTACTTGTTTTAACAGTCTTACATTTTTTCACGATAAGGAAGAGGATATAATTAAACAGAAAGCATCAGCGTAACCCACAGGAAGTGAAATGAGAGAGAAATGTGCCGCAAGAGAGAAAGCAAGAGAGAGTATAGGCTACATTATTATATTTCAGCAATAACTCATGCTTGTATTCATGTATTCGTGCCCTGGCCCGTGCAGGAGCTGACTCATGGGACAGGCAGTGGGGCTGCAGAGAGAAAGCTGGAGGCTAATTTAAAAATCTCTCCATAGATTCCTTTCCACTCTCATAAATGAATAATAATCCCAGATGCACCCTCAAAAGTCACCAATAACGATGAAAAATCACCTCAGAAATGCAAAACACAGTGCCACTGGAAAGCCAGTGATAGCTTGCATACTGATGAACTTCACAAATATGCACCAAAGCTGGAAGTACGAAATGTCCAGACCTCATAGTCCAGGTCGAGATGGTCAAACTCGCCATTGGTGCGGAAGCTCTGCGTGTGTTGGTCCAGGGTGAAGTTCACACTGCGTCTGTATCTCTCGACTAGCACAGAGTGCCAGTGGTCATCGTCCAGAAGGCTGCCGCTGGAGACCAAGGTGTGACCCTGGATGGAGCCATACTGGTTGCTACCTGGAGTGGACAGATATCAGTGAATGAGGCGTCAGAGAGAACGTTAAGCACCTCAGCTTTAAATCTAATGACATGTACAACTGTGTCCTTTGTAATCAGAAGGATAAAGACCTTCAAGACAACTCAAATGGTGCACAGCTCAGAGAACATGTAAGGACCCACAAAACATTGTTTGTTAATCACTATCATGATTATGGCCTTTACAACACTAATTTCAAGTGAGCCCTCTAACCAAGCATAATGTTTTTTGGTTGTGTTGATGCCTCTGAATATTCATTTAATTAAAAAAAGTACATTCTTTCCTATTTTTAATCATATTACATAGATTCACTATCGGTCATTCTACATCAACTCACCTAGAGCCTGTTCAGTCAAATCAGGGATTTCCATGCAAAAAAAGACAAGCAAAAACTTCAAAGCTGTGCTCCCATTCGTTTTTGATTATGTTGTGTACAAAACGAATTCGTTTTTTGGTTATGCATTTTCAAAATTTGCCCTATTAGGTTCTTAAATTTGGTTCTTAGTTATCTTAAATTTTGAGTTTAACCACTAACAGCATGACTTAACTGAGCTGTAATATTATCTGGATATAAATACAACAATATGAATAATAATTTACTTTGAATTGACTCCTTACATGCACACAACAGGTTAATTTAAAGCACTTTAGATTATACTTTTTATGTCATTAAATCTACATTAAGGTTTTATGGAATATTTTCACATTTATAACAAATTTATGAATTACTCATCAAAATGGCTTCACAACTAAAAATTAATTTTGTAAGTTTTATTGATCCTAGATTTTCTCAAACTTTTTCCTGAATAAAGGCAGTTATGTCAGATTAAAATACAAAATATACACACATGCTATAACTCTTTTGTAGCTTAATAATTTTTGATCATGATGTATTTAATAAAGAATCACAATGTGAAAAATGGTAAAACTATAGAAAAATGATTTCCGAATGAAGCTTTCCAAATTAACCTTTATAATGCTGAAGAGAGTCAGTATCCTATTTTGAGAAATAATGTGTCCTTGTATTTCTTCTTGTAGGGGGATATGTTATACACTGAACCCACAAAATGTGATTGCCTTGCTGGCAATTTTTTAGCGCGAAAGAAGTTGATTAAAAGTGAATTATTATAATTAATGTTAGGTAGGTACCTATTGCCCAGTTAATATTTCAACTCAGTCATTTTGCAAGCAACTAAACTTAAAATTTCAGACATAATTCTGAAAAGAATAGGGCAAACTTTCAAAATTCATGACTAAAAACCTAACTGAAGCAAAACTTTGAAATTTTGCAAAGTTTCTTTAAATTAAATTGAAATTTTTGCTTGACTCATTTCATGGAAATCCATGATGTAACTGAACAGGCTCCAGGTGAATTGGTATAGCATGACCCGAATGCATTTTTAATATATTCCAAGATGTATCGTAAACACAATACAAGCTATACAGTCACATTAGTATATGGTTCATGTCATTATGGACATCTGAGGGATTCTCAGGAATTACAAAGAACGTTCATTGGTAATAAATAACAGCAGTAGCAAAAAAAAAGACGAGATGCTAAAGCTTTTCAGAATGACATATACCAATAAGAGGCTGTTATTGAGGTTAATCTACACAGATAATTAGAAGGAACAATTTGTCTACGGCCCACTGCTGAAAGAACATAAGAGGAACCGAACATTAGTTATCTTAATGTTAGTATTTCTAATGTTTGCATTTAGTTAGTGCACTGCACATGTGGAGTTGTTTAGTTAATTATGGATATCTAAAGGTCTTTTAGAAATTTCAAAGACATGTTGACTTGTCTTGTAATAAATGAGAGCTAGTAAAAACTACCCAGTAGTCCATTATGTTGAATTCACAGTCAGCTTAGCATTTCATAATGCCTTAAGAGCTGAATATTGTTACCTAGGTTGATTTGTAGCACAAGCCTGGCTCTGCGTAGCTCCAGAGTGAGGTAATCTCCCTGCTGTCCTTCCCCATGAAGGAGAACCCCATCTCCTTTACTGGTCTTAAATCTCAGAGAGATAACATCCTTCAGGATCTTCATCTTCTTCTGTCGGAAGCGGTAGGAGATCACTCCCTGGCCATCGAAATTAATCACGTCCGCCCCTTAAACCAAATTGAGATTGAAGAAACACAGACCACCAAAAATGTTGACTTTGCTAATAATATATGAAAACATAGCATATGATATCGTACTAGCAGTTTCCTAATAGCTTTTATTCAGTGTTAGCCATAATTAGTCTACTGAACAAGAGAATGCTGCTCAAAAAACTGAAAGAGACCACTAGGAGCTGGCAGTTCAAATGTCTCTAGATCCCCACTCATGCACTCATGTCATGAAGCAAGACAATGAGATCTTTCTAAGAAGAAGATGAATCCAAATATACCTGACAAAATAAAGACATTTAAACTATTAATGTTCACAAACTCATTGGCAGCTCCATTACTCTCCCTTGTAGCTTAATAATAACTCGAGTGCTGTTTTCCATATAGCTACTAAGTAATAAGCCAAAGGATGTGGACATTCAGTACTGTGCAAGTCAAAGACCATCCTTTCATTTACTTCATTCCTAATGTACCATAAAGTACAAGTTATTAATTGTAAAGCAACAGAAAAAAGTAGAAAATCATCGAATATCGTCACTGTCCAAAGACTTTTCTCCATCATTTGAGCACCTCAGCTGTCCCTTACATTGTGTGAACTGACCAATAGAAATGCTCCAAAACTGCTTAGAAGAAAAGATCTTTCCATTAACTTACACTAAAAGTAAAGAATGTTTTTACCCTCTCCTGTAAAGTTACTGTTTTGGAGATACTTGTTTTCTTTTGGACAGAGACAATATATTTAACAGAAAATCACACAGAAACCATAATAACTGAATAAAATATCATAACTGGTCAGTATTTAGTGTGTCCAGTGTGTTCAGTCTTACAAGTCGGTTGCATTTTCTGATTCTCATGTTCCCAGTAATCCCGAACACATTCAATAATGCTGAGGTTCTGGACTCTGATGTGGTCAGTCCATTGTTCTGAGAATACTTTAATACATGACTTTTGATACTTTTTTTGACTACAGTTTTGGAAATTCCTGTTTTTTCACTTATTTTTCTTTGACTCTCACTTTCCTTGTGCATGTGGATTGTCTTATACTTAATCTTCTCACAAGTATCTTATGAATGACTTGCATTAAATGAGAGTGTGGTTTCTGACTTCGGCACAGCACCATATATGTATATTCCCTCTATAATAAACTGAAAACTCTTCAGCACCCCCACCAGCTTCTGTTATAAGTGAGTTTTGCAGCAATGGGTTTTCAGCTTTTTTACTCTGTATAGAGAAACTTAGCTTTCTTATACTTAGACATATATAAGCATATATGACATATATGATATGATATATATCATATAGATGTGGCAAGCAAAGATTAACTTGAAAAATATGAGACTATTTCTTTAAAAGCCAACAATGTGTGATTCCACCTGGTGATTTCAGCAGACACTCACAGTAAGCGCAGCCGTAGACCTCCACTCTCAAACCAATCCTGCCTTCCTCACTCCACTCAAGGGGAATAAAGCGCAGATATCGGGCCACTATGGTGTACTGCAGCTCATGGCGCACTGCTCTCTCTGAGTTCCAGTTACCTGAAAACGTCTGAAGAGAGGAGAGAGCAGACCCATCAAAACCATAAAAGTAATAATAGAAGCCCCTTGCAGAACTGAACCGTCTATTATTGCCTCCAAAGTCTATACACATCTATCACAGAACGCCTCAGTGCAGCCTGCTTCAGGGATGGTAAATCTCCATTCTAATTTACTCTGGTTCATTAGCTCTGCGTGGATTTTTTCTTTTTTTTCAGAAAATATTCATTATCTCGTAATTGTACAACAAGTGAATGATGAGTGCAATAATATTCAACTCCACTCCAAGACCCTCAAGTGCTGAGGGGAATCAATTCAGTTCCTCGCTGTGATTAGCAATACAAAAAAGAAATGCAAAAAGGGAGAATGTCTGGCATTTAGTAATTAGAATAACATTGATTAATATTTCAAAAGGCATGGATTTTTCCTGTGACAAGAATGATGAAAATGTATGTTTGTAATTGGATAGATAATTCCAAAAACATAAATAAAAAAAAATATGAAAAAGTTTCCTGATTATATAAGCTATGCTCTGTTGCACTGTCCATCTCTGATTTTCTAAATGAAAAGTAACGCAGAGAGCAGCTTTAAATATGACACATTTTGGCAACTTTCAATGCACAGCTATTGATTTGTTGAATGACACATGTTGGGAAAAAAGTAACACATGGCATGAAGTAATCTCTAATTAAAAAATCATTCCGAACTCTAGTTACCCATATGTTGCCATCCTGTCGATAAGGCCTCCAGTTACTTCCTGTGTCACTGTACAGGAGCCTGTACTGTTTGGTCCAGTCAGAACTGCTGTATCTGCCCTGGGTGGCTATGGCCGTGATCTGTTTCCTGCTTCTGAGGTCCACCTGCAGCCACCAATACCTGTCTGAGTCCAGTGGCGACCAGCCTCCGTTACCTTAGAGGAAAAGAGGACAAAGAATCACCATGTGCTATTTCCCCACTGTAATGTAAAGTACTGTTTATGTTATCATGCTACCATTTCATAATAATATTGTGAGAATTAGAATTCTCCTCCACAATATGCCAGTTTTTTCACACATTCCTAGGATTTGTGCAAGCATTCCATACTCTGTAATTACCTAGGCTGAAGTGCATGTAATGTAAAAATGAACTTCAAAAATGAGTTCAATTGCAAAAACATTGTGATAAAATTTTCATAAATCATGTTTTTTATCATGTATTTCATGTAATATCAATCAAACTGCAGTTGTATTGTTTTGATAAAAAAAAATAATTTAGCAAAATACAGGTAACTTACAAAAAAATAAACTTTATTGATTTTGTTTTATTATTTAAATTTTGTTTTTGGGCAAAAGCAGAGAACTCCAATGCTCATTTCATGTTTCAATGTTAAAGCCATTTAATGGATACAAGTCTAATATTTAACATTCTTTAATATAAAACAAGCAGGTAAAACACTGAAAATTGCAACAAAAACAGCCCATTAATCAGCAATATTAACCATCTATAAGATCAAATCCTAGGGCTGAATCTCAAATGGCTCACTGCTCCCTATACAGGGCACTTTGTGAGTTATGAAATTTTGGCATTTACACTCAAATACTGCACATTTTGTCCAATATTGTGCACACATGGCTGAATCTAAAGTGGTTCTTTGTTAGACATACTGTCCACTGTTTAGACACATTAGCCATTATTTAAAAAACCTACATTCTACACTATGTAGGGAGAAGGGAGCCATATCAGATTCTGGCTAACAGTTCAGAGCAGTGTTGCTTCATCTGACCTGAATACTGATTTGCTGAACGAATTTATCGGGTTCTAGTCAAGAACAGCGCGGGCATTTGACTGTTTTTGCTGTTAAACGTGAACTTGTAAAGCCTTGACAGTGGACAGTAACAGTTCAGGGATCAGAATGCACTATGTCTTAAGAATAACTCACGACAGCAAGCTCATTTTTTAATGGATGGCATTTACTGTTTTCTGCAAACGAACTCTTCAAATATTTGTGCTATCATGCTATCACTTCATAATATTTGTCAGAGACTCCGCAGACCTTCTGCCCCTTTGTTTGTTTCTGCCCCTGTCTAGTTTGTTTCTAAAACAGTGTAAGCTTTTACAGCACCCTGGCTATCCAATGTCATGAGGGGGAAAGGGATGAAAAGCTGAGCCAGTGAAATAGAAATTAAGGATAAACAGAAGAAATGGGTTTTGCGAAAACTATCTATACTCTTTTCTTAATGTCATCCAATGAAGATGACAGGACAGTGGCTATCCTTTCATTCTTATCTAAGTTAAGCTCCTCTTTTCAGTATCTTAACCTTAGAAGTTCAGAAATGCTGGTCTCATATCAATCAATGTCTTCTATAGAGGCCTGTGTGAAAGTCACAGGGAGAAGGGCTTCCTTACCCACTCTGCGGTTCAGTTTAGCATAGCCAGCACCAAAATCAGCTGCTAGCACGGAGGAGCTGCTGAAAGCACTGTAGGGCAGAGGAGTGGCCAGCACCTCATCACACCGCTCTGTAGAGAAAAGCAAAAACACAAATTAAAACACAGACATGTGTCCAGCCCTCGTCGGAGAGCACTAACTGCCCGACTCTCTGTAAATTACTTAAAAGGTGCTAACGTGCTAACAGTGGCTAACATCAGTCCACACCACCAGTACTGGCTGCTACATTGCTGAAGATGAAGAGGCTAAAAAACTTGTTTTAAATATTCAGAAATATCAAGTAGAAAAAGAGTAAAGAAGATGTAAACCATTTATTAGGAAGATGATCCATTCTGTCAACCTTAACTCCAATAATTTTACAGTTTTCTAGCTGTGTGTTACCAGAAAAATAGTGAAATGGGGCGAATATAGTTTAGCCAGCATTACCATTAGCTGTTGCTGTAGTTGAAGCTTTTATAGCTACAATTAGCTATGTAACAGCTAAAGACTAATCAGTATCTAATCTCTGGTAAGGGTTATTTATTAATAATTACTGTACAAATTTTATATTAATAATTATACAATGTAAAAGTTAGCAGTTTAAATTGCTACAGTTTTCAGAATAGAAAGGATACCACATTGCAAATATTAGCAAATTTCTTTCAAATACTACTTAGATATATTAATCTTTTAATTCTAGGCTTCAAGAAGTTATGTACTATTTTACTTTAGAAATTATTTTACTTAAGTTAAAATCCATTTGTAAGCTTAAATTGTTCAATTTCATGTTAAATCAGGCAATTAGTTTCTCAATGTTTTAAGCAAATTTATCATTTACAGTGTAGTCATTAAAATAGTTATATAGTTATTATTAATTGTAGTTACAGCTTGAATTCCAGTGTCCACCTAAAGCTACATATCCTAACAGATAAAATTCCAGGACTACTGCCTCAGAGTCTCCATAGTCCTTTATTGTCTTAAGTATATACTAAAGCTACTGAGGTGCATTTACAGTATATGCAGTATAATAATGATACATACATACATACATCATCTAAACCGCTTATCCTTCTGGGTCGCGGTGGGGTGCTGGAACCTATCCCAGCTGTCATTGGGCGGAAGGCAGGATACACCCTGGACAGGTCGCCAGTCCATCACAGGGCAGACAGACAGATACAATCACACACACATTCACACCTAGGGGCAATTCAGCATGTCCAATCAGCCTGACTGCATGTCTTTGGACCGTGGGAGGAAACCAGAGTACCCGGAGGAAACCCACGTAGACACGGGGAGAACATGCAAACTCCACACAGAAAGGACCCCGGTCGTCCGGCCGGGAATCAAACCCAGGCCCTTGTTGCTGTGAGGCGACAGCGCTACCCACTGCGCCACCGTGCCAATGATATTGGCATAAAATGTGCATTGCCCTTATAATGCATTGCTTTACCAGTATATTTGCATCATGTTCTCATACACTGCCTGTGCACCAAGGGCAGCTGATGTAAATTCTCTACCTCCGCATTTTATTACTGTGACATTTCAAGGTGTGAAATTCATTAGAATGATTCATGCTTCCAGCCAAACACAGATGAACATTCCAATTGCAAGTGATCAAAGTACACAAACAAACAATGATAATCTGTGTACATCATGATTTCAGTAACCAAGAGTTCCAATATGATGAAGGAGAGTGTAGATGTAGAGTGCAGATGCAGTCTAATCACTGGCTTCTCTGGAAATCTCTGGAAATCTAACTTCAAATTCCACTGGCTCTCAAGCACCATGTACAATGACAGAATCTTCACATTATTGTAGTTGTATAGTTGAGTATATACAGTTAGGCTAACTGGTTTATCTCAATCAGTACAGTGGTATTCACAGCTAAGTCTGTCTGTTTTCTCATTTACAGTCTTATTCATTTATTTATTTAAGGGGTGGTTTATCAGTCATGTGATCAGATTCTTTTCCATGGTTGTACTGTAATATGTGCTAAAAATGTAAATCTTACTGTATAGGAATATACAGTACATGGGACAATGCAGTGGTTGTGAATTTTTGCAATTAGATGAGTTAGTAGTGGTTCATCCAGTATACCAGTTGAAATTCTTCCTCAGGTATGAGTTTTGTCAGAACTGTTGGTTCAGCTAATGCAATGTACAAATAGTGCAAGGGTGACTTGGTCGGCTACATCAGACAGCGTTGTGGTCTCCTGATCTTGTCTATGCAACAAACAGGGGATCAGCAAGTAATGAAGTGTAAATGACTGTAGTATCTTCCAAATTCCAGCAGTGTCTGACGGTCAGGGGTACGAGTGTAGGAGACAAATGACAAAGCTAAAATTCTTTAATTCTTAAATTCTTACATGAATTTCCTTACATCCAAGTGCCTATACAGGTGTCACAACATCACTGCTGTTTCATTTAAGGTAGAACCAACAAAAATCAGACAAAAAGCTTCCAAATAAAAGAGCTAACTTCAGCTTCAACTTCAGTAGAAATTCAGATGTGACTCAACATTTAGCACTGTTTTTGCCAGAAAGTAATATTGACATCAGTTGATCTATATACTGTTCAGTTTTGTTTTTACTATTTTGCACAATAAATATATTTCAGATTTACTTTGGTTATTGAAAATGTTTTTTATTAAAAAGTGATGAACCCTCAGTAATAGAATAATAAAAAAGAATAATGAACCACTAGAATAATACACCACTACTAAGGTGCAAAAGTAGGTTTACTTAAACATCTAAAAGGGTTAAGAAAATGATATATATATCAGAAATTTTAATGATACTGTGCTATAAATTTTTGGCCATACCGTCCACTACTACTGAGTGTGAATTATTAGTCATTGAATTATCTGACGAACAGCTCTGATAAGCTGCTAAAGCTTTCTGTGCCAAGTCTTAAGGCCTTGATATACTTTGAGCTAAGCAGTTCTGTTTTGGTCGTCGCATTTCAACCATCCAATCACAGGCTTTAACATCTAGCATGTTTGTCATGAAGTACTGAATCAAATCATTACCTTAGAATTCATAATCGCATCAAACCTAATATTATGTGTATCATTACACTTGTAGTACGTATTTCTCAGCATGTGTTTACCACAACTATTACTCTTGAAAATGGTTCTTTAAGGGTTCAATAGTAAATAAAAAGGTTCTACACAGCACCAAAAAGGGTTCTTCTTGAAGCCTGAATTCATAACAATAGGTCAACCCTTTTGGTTGGCTACTATATAGAACCCATTTCAAAAATGTTCTACAGCACATTCTCCATCAATCTAAAGAACGCTTTCAAGATGCCAAGAACCCATTAATCATGCAAAGGGTGTTTGGAGTGTTTGCGGTTCTATATAGAACCATTTTCTTTATTAAAGAAACCTGAAGCACCATCTTTTTAAAGAGTGTATAGAAAAGTTGCCTCTGCTTAATGTAAATGTGCTCTGGCAGGATGAAATAAAAAGGCACTGTGCACTTACATTTTGACTCCAGCTCCTTTCAGTTATAAAACAAGCCCTGATCCTTACTGCATTAACCAGGAAACCTAACAGAATCAAATTTGAAAATGAGGTGCAGTGCTGGTGTAGCTTAAGTGAATGATAATCCATTCAGACTTGAATACAGCCTCTTTCTAAGAAAAACCTCCTCAAAGTACATGTCTGAATCCCATGCCAATTAATGGTGCAATTATCTGAGTAATTCAAGTAATTCTTCTTGAGTTGCAGTGCTTTTACAGATGGATCATTTCTGTCAGACTTATTATGCATGTGAAAAGAACTGACATGTTCCTGGAAGCTAGCTCTAACACTTCCTGAGACAGGCAAGGCCATAAATAATTGCTCACTTCCTCACAATTCCACATTTAGTCGAAAAGTTTGTCCAGACAATTCAGGACCTGGAACAAGAGCAAATGATGATTGGTTTCTTTTCAGGCCATCTCGATCAACTAAATGGAAAATGTTTCAATAATTACAAATGACACTGAACGAAGGCCTGATAATGACTGCAATGCTCCATTAGCATTTTAATTATAGCAGAATTAGTCTGCATTTCCAAATGTGCCAGACAAGTTCACAAACAGTCTGCACTGTAATGAGCCTGTTTGATGGAACACAAAAGCATTGTCCTTCACTTCTAAAGAGTTTGAACAAATAATGTGGCAGTGACAGCACAGACAAAGCCAGAGGAGGGAATATATATATCCCAGTATATTCTTCCTATACAGATTACTACTTGTTTAAAATGTAATCCATAACCAGAATCCAAAGGATTACTATGTTAGCAACATAAGTAACATAATCTGATTGTTGGTTCATGTCATCTGTGAAAGTCTGTGAAAATGAAACAGGACACAAATGTGCAAAGGTGGTTTGAATGTAATCCTGCAAATAATCACTCTATTTTTCTGATATATCTGCAATTTGATTACTGCCTTTTTTCTCTAACTGTAATGGAATACAGAGCCCTCAATTAGATACTTTGGTTTTGATTATTTCAATACACTTACAGTCCATATATCTGCTTCAGCTTTACATACATAACATCTTTTGCCTTTGTATATATAAATATGACCAAAAAATATGTTTGCCTGAGCATAAACAAAGACACATTTGAATAACAAAACTGATAGGGAAAAAAATTATGACACTATATTAAAATATATATGTATGTATGTACCTGGTGTTGTTATAAAAGATGTTGCCATTGGTTAGGAAGATTTCCTGTAACAATCATAGTGAAGGTGAAGGAGCTTCTCAGTGGCAATATTATTAAACATCACTAGAAATTAAGTATCTACAGACCTAAAGGCCTTCATCATCCCAGCTAGTTCAACTAGTTCAATGATATGCAACTGGAAAGTTCATGGACCTGGACAGATGCACTACACAAGATTTCTGTCAGAATAATAATAAGGAAAGTAAGAGAGAAAGTAAGAGCAGTCACTCGAAAAGAGCCTGACAGCACCACAACAGACACGTGCATCAGAAATTTGCACATGAGCACTTCGACAATTCAGAACAGTTTTAGAACAATGTACTCTGGTCAGATGAAACAAAAATAGAGCTTTGGCAATAATTCAGCTTGTCA